TGCGGATATCTGACATAATTTGATAACGTGTTATTGTGGCCGAGGGTTTGTAGAAGGATGTATGTCAGGAAATCCACACATGAGAGGAAAGGTCTTGAGAAGGGAGAAGGCGTGTCACGAAAAGGCTTATAGAAGAGCTTATAGATTGGTTTTTAGAGACGTGTTTGGAGTTTCTAGGACGGGCGAGGGTTTTCGGAAGGGTGCATAGAAGGGTTCAGAGAGAAGTTCACAGAGAAGTTCACAGGAGGGCTTGTAGAAGGGTTTCCAGGAGGGTGTAGGCATAGTCTTGGAGATACCTAGCAGTGGATGGAGACATAGAGTCGTAGTAGATGAGAGATTCAATCAAGCTCTCTCCACTCTTGAACCGAGGAGAGCTTGAGAAAGTGGCGAACGCAGTCCCGACCGCGGAGCTGCGACCTGACAAGGCGCCCCGAAGTGCCGCTTCTGCCTCTGCCCGAAAACATCGCAGCAAGGAAGAGCGACCTCTGCCTTGTTGCAAGTGGAGAGCCAGGCTGAAGAAACGCAGAGGAAAGGTCTACGTTTAGCTTAGAGCTTTCTCATCTCTTCAGAACCATCAGACAGTCATCAGACCCACGGGGGAATCTCGCGATTGTCGCGAGAAACGTAAAGTCACACGGCTCGCGAAGCCTAGTGGCAGCCATGGGCCTTCGGAATGGACATGGAGGGCCGGCACTTTGGGCTGTCGCCATTATCCTTGGCCTTGGGGGAGCATGGCTTCAGCCAGCCAAAGGCCCGTTGGTCCGCCATGGCCGCATTAGCTTGCGTGCCAGAGGGGGTGCCGAAGCTGTTGACACTGACGACTTGCTTGTAGCTTTGGGTCGTAACCTCTGGGCTGCGGCGGACGAGCTGCTGGAGGTCAGCGCTACCCTGGCCGCTCTCGGTCTCGTCCCAAGATCCGACGATGGCAACAGTCGTAAGTTTTCGCCATTGGGGCTGGGCTCAGCAGCACTGGCTCTGCGGAATGCTGCAGACAACATACTGGATGATGATTGGGAGAATGCCATGGGAGAGCTCGAAGTCGCTTCCGTTTCCTGGCAGAGAAACACAAGAAAACCTTTCGCTCTTTTCTCACAACCCTGTCTCTCTCTGTCTCTCTCTGTCTCTCTCTGTCTCTCTCTGTCTCTCTCTGTCTCTCTCTGTCTCTCTCTCTCTCTCTCTCTCTGTCTCTCTCTCTCTCTCTCTCTCTTTCTCTCTAGCTGTCCATCTCTCTGCTGCTTCTGTTCCCTCAATGGTTCGTTGAAGCACCTTCTGCAGACGCGAGCCGCTTTTGTTCAATGCTTCTCTTCAACAACAACCCACATGCAGTTTGAACTGAGGTTTCCTGCGAGGGCTACCTACCCTCAGCCTTCATGCAGGGTGTGGTAGATCTTTTCGCCTACGAGGTGCGGAGCCACTCGACGTCCACTGCTCACAAAGATCCGTTGTCTTCTCGATTATCGACACATTATTCCATTAATGCTGTTGTATATCACAATGCCTATACAATTATGTAACGTGTATAATTGTGACATATGTGTGTATATATATATATATATATACACACATACAGTATGCACAAATAGTTTCACTCTTTCATTCTCTGTATTTCTTGCTTCGACTCTCCCTGTCTCTCTGTCCGTTTGCCTGACTGCCGGCCTGCCTGGCTGTCTCGCGGTCTCTCTCACTCTCTTTGTCTGTCTGTCTGCCTGCCTGGCTGTCTGTCTGCTTGGCTGTCTGTCTGCCTGGCTGTCTGTCTGCTGCCTGGCCGTCTGTCTGTCTGACGTTGAATCCAATTATGTCGCAAGCACTGCAAATTTCTATGCGACCTACCGTCCTTCCATCTACCCACCTAATGAACTAGCTAACTACTTCTCTAGGAGTCTCATTTTCCCTGTCTTGTTTCTATGATGAATCTACCCATGCTGTCTGATGGATGTGTCGTTCTGTTTCGCTTTCTGCCCATCTGTATCCCTTATCGAACCGTCCCTGTCAGGAGCCGATCCCGGAGTGCGAGTGGTTTTCCGCACGGCAGTCTTTTCGGGGACTGTCTCGGAACCTTTTCAGTATCGCAGATCGCCTCGGCGAATCCTCAAACCCGCTGGCCGAGTCCTTGCGCTATGCTGGGGAGAAGCTTCGGAGCGCGGGGAAGCTCTTCGTGGAAGGTGGTTTTCAGATGCCTAAGGATCCGCGGTTTTCGCGGGGAGAGCGCGGGGAGTGGTCAAGTCAAAGCCAGCAGAGCTACTACGGCAACTTCTATTCCAGCGCAGGGCCAAGCCCAGAAGCACAGCTGGCAGAAGAAGCACCAGCTGGAACACCAGCGGCCAAGTTAGTAGAAAGCATCAGGTTAGAAATCGAGGATGCTGATGCAGGGGGACCGCAGGAACGCCGCGCACTTTTGCGCAAACTGGTTCGACGTCTTCATCCGGATCAAAATCCAGGAAAGGAGGCCGAGGTGTTGCCTGCCTTCCGGTATATTCAACGCCTCCGTTCTGAGGAGGCAGACCAAAGAAGATAGCCGAGTTTCACGGCGATGCCGGCTGTGCAGGAAAAGAAATGTCGCGGAATGCTTCATGATGTGGTAGGCTAGCCTGGCGGTGTGCTCTGAATCGTGCAGCTAAACCTGCTTGTCGCTAGTCCTCGTCAGTCGCAACCAACTGCCACCATCTCGCACCGTCAACGCACTACTCCGGCACGATCTATACCTCGGTTGGATTCCACTTGACTTGCCAGATCGAAGGGGGCAAAAAGGTTGAGGAGCAAAGTGATGAGAAAGACATGGGCATGTCTTATGCGGCCTAGATGCACGCAACGGTTAAGACTCTGTGCATAGCGAGTGGAATGCAGTGTCAAGCTGAGGATGAGCTGGGAGACCTAGGACATCTTCGAAAGGTGCCTTTTCAGACTGCCATGATGTGCTCTGTGCCTGATTAACATACCAGGTGGAGAAATGCGGCCCGCTGTCCACTTTCTTGAAGCTGCGCCAGCTGTGGTCCCACAAGACCGCAGATTGGACGGGTCCTCAGGACTGTCACCTTTCCGCCTCTGGAACAAAATTCACTTGCCTCAGTCATGCCCTTGGGAGGATAACGACCGGGCAATCACACCTTCAATTAGGGTCAAAGAGCAGCCCAAGTCCTTCGATGAGAAGGTTGCGCAGAAGGTTGGCGCTGCATGCTAATCATCGCTTAGTGTCTTTGCTGCTCTTTCGTTGATGTCAGCTTCAGCAACCTGCGAGATCTTGGCTGGATGCCTTTGGCAGATGCCAGGACTGTAGCTTTAGCATCCTCATAGAGGAGCAGCTGCGGCTTGCTGCCCAAGGCAGCGAAATGGTGAGAGATGCCGGGGAAGGCACTCAGGAAGATAAGCAGAGACAGCTTGTGGACTTGGGCTTACGGAGCCTTCCCCTGCGAGAAGCGGAAGAACTCTGCGTCGGTGCAGCACATATGCATGACTGCAAAAGGCACCGACGCAGAGTTCTTCCGCTTCTCGCGGGGGAAGGACTACAAAGCGTACAGCAAGAACCTCCGCAAAGTCTACGAAGATACATCAGCTCACGCTGCAGAGGGTGAAAGTCGTCGCGCCTCCTTTGTGTTCCCGATCCATCTCATCAGGTTCGACGCCTTACCCGCCGACGCCCGCAAAGAAGTGATGGAGGAGCTCGAGCCGAAGCCTGTGCCCAAGAATGCAAAAAAAGGCCGCCGCCGACATCGCAGGAAGCTGCGCCGAGACCCTCTCAGAACAGAATGCGACGGCCTGCTGCAGCCATGTGACCACGACCCGCTCACCGGGCACGGTCCTACAGTCCACTTTTGGCCGCCTGCTTGCAAGCTGCTCATGCCAAGACGAATATCACCTTGCTCGCGATTCGCTTGCTCCCGAGGTATCTTCTGACCACGACCCTCACGAGGGCACGGTCCTTCTGTTTGCAACTTGGATTCGGACGGAGCTGCTCCTCAAACTCACCACTCTCGCTCCTCAATCCTCCTCACTCTCCTCACCCACCTCATTATCCTCACCCCTCAAACTCACCAGTCTCGCCCTTCTCACCTTCTTCACTCCTTACCCTCGTCACTCTCCTTACTCTCGCTCCTCATTCTTCTCGTTCTCCCCATTCTCGCTTTTCAGGTATACGACCACGACGACCACGACCGCAAGGGCACGGTCTACAACTTGCAGCTTCTTCATCTTTTCACTGCATGGTTTGCGGTAGGCATGCAGAGATAGCCTCTTCACATTCATGGTGCAGTGCGTCTGACTCGTGTTGAACGTAGCTGTACAGCCCATGCAACTTCACGCACTGTCTTGAGACATGGAGTTGCTTCGAACACACGATCGGCTACGCGAAGTGAAACAGCTGGCACAATGTGTGTGCATGCTACCTGCAGTGACGGGCGTTTGGGAGGGAGAGTATCCTGTGCAGTACAGGTCAAAGACTTCTACTTTTACAACGCGATCAACAGGCATAAGATGACTACGCTGACACCCTCCTACCATGCGGAGAACTATTCTCCCGATGACAACCGTGGCTTGCTGAGTCACAATGTCATATCTGGCATGCCATGTGTCGCTTTCCCGAAGCGCTGACATGTGTGTTTGCCGCTTGCCCGTGTCTTCGCCCAGGATTTGATCTGCGTCCTTTCCTTTTCCCAGCGACCTTCGAAGCGCAGTTCGAAGCGATCGATGAGGTAGTGAAAGCATGCCGGAAGGATTGAGCTCTTCACATGTAGAGCAAGTAGTACCAGTGATGAAGTCGTCGGCGCCAGCTGTGACGTGACAGAGTAGTTAGCGCCGGCTCCCAGCAACTGCAGTGAACGCACGGGAAAGCTCAATCCTCCCGTCAGGTGTACGCCGCTGAGGCATAATTTGTTGATACCATAACCCGACGACGCTCGGCAGCTTGCCGTTAGTCGATGTTATCGCTTTGCTGCAACAAAAAACGGCTCGCCCATGGCGGGGACGACATGCATGTCGATGGGTCAGGAAGTTTTTTCTAGACTGAGGCGCCCCACTGTCAGCCCGGAGTGGGTGTGGCACGGGTGGCATGCCGAGAACCTAGCTATTTGTGCCATGCATGCTCTAAGTTTGGGTTGTCTAGTCTTCTTCTGGCGAGGTTTTTGGTAGTGCCCGGTAGAAGAAGTATGAAGAAGCATAAGAGGAACAAGAAGCATAAGCGGGACAGAGACAGAGAGAGAGAGAGAGGGTGCGCCTTCGCCGTCGAGGCGGGTTGTGGTTTAGTATAGAGGTTTCTGGTGGGGGTGCCGGTGAGTCGTTCCACAAGAAATCTCGGCCTTTCTCTCGTTCCTGTACACACCCCAGTGCGCGGTAACGCGCGAGGGGCTGCACGGACGTGTTGCCTCTCTGCCTGTGCTGAAGAAGAGAGAGAGATAGAGAGATGGAGCTCAGTCGCTTCAGACCCGCTAGACCAGTGCGTGCTTGCGTGTGGAGGGGTAGCGACCGCTCCTGTGTGGAAGAAGAGAGAGTTCAGAGAGAGGGAGCAAGCGACCACGGACGAAAATCAGACGAATCGCCTGCACCGACATAGCAGCCCAGGGTAATCCGGGCCCCCCCAACAAGAAAGCCAAGTGGAACGTGGCGAGGGAGGTGCACCGAGGCAGTACTGATCCACGTCCATGGGAACAAGCGCATGCAACAGTGAATGGAGTCTGTGCTTCGTGATTGGCTTTGAGACGGCTCAACTGACCGACTCGTTGTCATGATTTTTTGATTGAGGCCCGTTGCTGTTGCTGCTCTGCGGGCATGCACCCCTCCGGATTCAAGACAAAACATGGATCTGGAGATTCAAAGGCCCTAGGCAGCTGTGTAGAAGCAGGTACGCATCGAGCGGCGCCAGTTCGTCAGCAGACGATGTGACGTGGTGAAGATTTGACTGGGTTGCAGTTGCAGTACAGTCGCTTGCTCCACCGCACTTCTTTCCGCACGTTGCCAGTCGGGAATCGTCGCAGCCAAGGCCAGTGTTCTCGTGCCCTGGTGCGAGGGCACCTGCGGTTTCAGCTCCATCCAGCAGCTCCCTGACCTGTTGGCGGTCGCTTGAAGGAGTAGAGAGCCTTGTCCTCTCGTGCTTAGGCTCGAATGGATCAAAGCCTTGGGATGCTCAGACCCTCAGCAAAGAGCTGGACTCCCGATATCCATCCAGGTTGTGGGCGCCTCAGACTCGACGGAAGTGCCTTCAAGTCGAGTTTCCACCGCTGGCACAGGCTAACCACTGAAATCTCACGTGAGCAGGCTGGTGAATGACATCATCACGGAGCTTCTCGATTCGCGTCCGCAGCCACTGACTGCGCCGGAGCTGAGGAGAACTGCATGCGAGCGACATGGCAATGGCGAACGCATGAAAGCAACCTCAGAAGCCTGGCAGGAAAAACTTGAAGCCCCGACTAGTCGCTTTGATTCTGGATTCGATTGCCGCAGAAGGCCAGAGCATGTGGCAACAACGTCGCTGTCTCGTTAGACGCGGTCGCTTGACAGGACTGCAGACGAATGGCTCGTCCAGCGCTCAATTTGCGGCAGCTCGCTACAAGTCACCACAGAAGCGGGACATGGGAGCAGGCAGAGGTCAGTGAGAGAACCTGTCGGGACCCAAGTTTCGACAGCAGCGAGATCTCTAATATTGTGGTCAGACATGTTTTCGCTGGCTGTTTCGGTTCGGAAATTGACCGGAACGACGTTGGTGCGACTCTGCGCTTCTGCAGTGCTCAGGAACGTGCGATGCTAGCGGTGGTCTTCCACAATGCCGAGGCAGCGAAAGTTGCTCGGTTCGGTCGCGGTATCCCGGAGTGAGATCTCGCATCTTTGTGAGGTCTGGCAGGAAGTCTGCGGAGCCACGAGGCCGGTGCGGCGCCGGTGGCTTGCAGTGAGCAGCGTGAGTCAGCGCGAGGCGCCAGTGCTCCGCCTGTGGCATTCCTCATTACTTGGCCGTCTTTGACTCAGAGAAGCCACGCTCACTCGGGCATCCTGAAGGGGCCAAATGAAACAGGCACGGATCCTTGAGTCTCTCAGAGCATTCCTTGGCTTGCCCGAGCTCTCAGAGGACCCGTGCTGACGGCTGACGATCCCTGGAGTCAAAGTTCACTTTGTCGGATCAGGACGGCGACAGTGATGCCTGGGCGCCTCCGATCTCGCCTCAGCACTGCTGAGATTCGGCTTCGTGGCTCACACCGCTGCCGAGGCCAGAGCAGCCTTTGCATCATATCGACGACGTGCCTCCGTTGTTGTCTACGCGTGGACGCTGGCAGGAGGTCACAACACCACACCCGTAAGGTACAAGTAACTATTAATCATCTAACTAGTACCTGCAGCGGTAACCGCTGCTTGTCAGGAGCAGCTCCCCGCAGGTTTTGCTCTCCAGGCTCGTGGGTCAGTCAGACGGCGACAACAGCGCAAGGAATCAAAGCCGACAGGAGCCGGTGACATTTCAGGAAAGGGCGGACGGAGGCCCTGCCGTCGCCCGGCGCCCGGAGACCGTGCAATGAGTTCTCGCAGCCATGGGCCAAAGCCAGGTTTCGCCGATTTCTCTAGACGTGTCGTGGGAATTGCCGGAGCTTGGGCCTTGTAGTTCCTTCTGGGATGTTGGCCGTTTGAAGACTCGGATTGGTGAGCTCAGGCGACCTGAAGATGTGAGCGGGAGTGCCTGGCACACAGCTTCGATGTGACACGACATGCCCTTGTCGGCTGCGCTGCGTCAAGGCAACCTTACCATTGCTCTGATCTGGAGTGAAATGGGTGGAACTTGCTCAAGCGTCTGTGCCCCAAAGGGGCCAATCCTTCGGGACAAAATCGGGCATGCAGGCTGCATGTGCCTGATGCTGCTTTTGAGCTTCCTCTGTCAATGGAAGAATTACAAGCTAAGCGCGAAGTTGTAAGCATCTCGCTGTCTGTGTTGCCAAGGGCTGCCAAAGTAGCAGCAACATCAGAAGCTCGGTTTGCAGATCTGCGACGCTTCGCCTTTCTTGTAATTGTAATTGTAGCTACGAGGCCACCGCGGTGTCTGATGTGGATACTTCCTCAATGATTCGCACATCTTTTGCCAGTACTTGCGTGCTGTGATCGGCCTTCAAAGCCTGACGTGCGCACTCGGCAATTCTTGCGAGGAAAGCAAAACAGGTCGGATGAAACGAACGGACCACACTCCAGAGACATGCGAGCTGTACAGCCGACGAAAGGTAGGGGCCGGTGCTCCAGTTCTTTGTTCCGTCCTGTTCTCACACGGTGCGACCTTTGGTGGCTTAGCAGAAGTTGGTGAACCCCACGCCTCCCCACAGCAACGCGGCGACCGGCAGCCTCGGAGGCGCCTGACGCACGAAACGAGCACACGCCTTCCGGCATAATACACACACACACACAGCACGTATCTCCCTGCTGGGAGGCGATGATGGACCAGGTGTCGAGCTGGTCGGCGAGTGTGACAGAGGTTCGGCAGCACAGTGGCGGGCAGTCTGGGCTCTGCAGAAAATGCCGGCAGGCCTTGGCCAACAAGGACTATGCAGCCTCAGCTTGGGGTGGCTTTGAGACATATATGAACTCTTTCGATCAAGGCGGCCTGGCGACCTCACACGGGCACGGAGGCACGGTGGATTTGCAGCACTTTTGACTTTGTCGACAACGGCAGGTCTCCTTGCGTTGGCGGCACTGGTGATAGGCCGCCCCAGCATTTGCTGAATCGAAGGATCTGCAGCCGTAGATTTTGTAGATTTTGCAAGCACAATGTTTGTTCATTTGCGGACTGTGCTCATGACATTGACATCGTCTGCATGCTGCTTCCTGCTTCGTAACTGCCTTGGGCGGCAAATTGCGAGGTGTGTTGCAGGCATATCTTGGCATGGAGACGCTTCTGAGGCTGTGACTCGTGTGTCAGTTGTCGCACTTTGGCGGAAACCCAGCGTGCCCGAAATCTCAAATGCGGCACCAGAGTGAGAGTGTGGCTACGGCTCCGGGTGACAACGAACGGCACACTCATGGGCGGCGCGAGCTCAGCAATATGCAAGTGGAAGAAACTCGAAAAGTCTCGCTCGTGCTATGAACAAGATGCATTGCTACGTGGCGCATAGTGCATAGTTGGTGTTTCGAGTAGACGAAGTTGTGTCGACGCAGTTTTGCACCATGAGTGGCACAGAGCATTTGGACTGCGGTTGTCTGTTTCTTGAAGGATCTGCGGGTACTTTGCAAGTCTGAGTCCGACAGAATCGAAACCTCCATGGCTTGACAGAGTCCAGGTGCGAGCTTCGTCGCGCGTGGCTTTGCCATCATGAAGCCCTTGAGTGTGTTTGGCTAAGTTTTGGACGGTTGATAAAGTTGCAGATCCCTTGGTTGCACCGCGCACAGGTGCTCACTTTTGCCGGTGGACTTGCTGCGCACACTAGCATAGTAGCGCTGCATGAAGGACGGTCTACAGCAAGCCTTAAGGCATTGGAGAGGGAGGTGCACTGAGGGGCTGTTGCGTGCATCGCGATGCAGGACAAGGCCTTGCAGGCGGCGTATCGGCCATCGTAGTTGGCCTGTGCTGGCGTCTGAGCGCAGGATAGCGCATGCACTGCAAACAAATGGTCCGTCTGCGATGACGCAGACTCAGCTCTCAGGTGGTGTGATCTTCGCACATCGAGTTTATCCGCTCTTTGTCTTCTTCCTTGGATGCGTGCTCGGAGGCGATGTCAGAGATACTTTCAAGAGTCTAAAGCAAGACAGTGCGGGAAGTGTCACGAACCACGGACGTTGCTTCAGGCGGTGCCACTTTCCTCTGCCGGAGCTCCCTTGGCTTGGCCGGTACTCCTACCGCTCTGATCGGCTTGATGATGCTCCTCTCGGTCTTTGCTGGCCTGGTCAGAATCCAAGAAAAGGGCCCAGGGTCGGCCAAGGGTATGTTGTAGCTGCAGAGAAGTTCCCACAAGTGCGCGAACATGTTTTTTTTGGGGGCATCATTCGGCCAGACCTTAGGTCAGTGTAGGCGCTGGGGGGTTTCATGCGAAGTGTACCTGGGCTCAGGTCATGAGCAACTTGGCAGATGGCAAGCCGTGATCTTTTCCGTTTTGTCTTCGTGAGCATGGGCTGCGCTGGCTGTGTCTGCTGCAGACGAGTAGGTTTAGCTGCTTAGCACAAATGATTGCAATCCCATCAGCAGCTGAGAACACTTCCGCATCTTCAGCTGGCGTGTGCTCACACCACTGGTCGGTGGCGCACTAGCATCGGCCAGCATGCGTTTCTGGGTACCTGGGCGCAACCTGCATAGTTACAGCACCAGGTCAGAAGTGCGAGTCTGCGCCGTCAATCCGGTCTTTGTTCGATCAGTGACGACAGCGATGAGCTACTTGTTTCCGACATGACAAGAGCCAGGATCACGGACTTTGGCGCAGTGGCTAAGTGCTTGCAGTCATTTTGTCACTTCGCTTAAAGCCGTAGCAAGTTACACAAAGCCGACGGGCGTCATGTGAGCCTTGAGCCGCCGAGCGCTGTGGCGATGCTGCGCTACCGCAGACTGCTCTGTTTTTTGCTGGCGGTGGTCCTGCTGTGCATTTTCGCGAACGCTGCAGTTCTCTACAGGGGCCCGGATTGCTGAAGTGCGGCAGAGTGCGAGTAAATTCATCTAGCGCACTAGCATTGGCGAATCCTGCCCACCAGGTGGAGTGTGGCGAGCGTACTTTCTACCCACGGAGGACGTATGGGACTCCATCCACGAACGTGGAAAAGGGCTGGCTGGAGGAATCTGGGGGTACAACCAAAGCAAGCTTGAAAACTACACGATGCTGCTTCGCTTGATTAGAGTTTTTGAGCGGCAGGTGTTCAGTCAGTGTTGCATCGGCGCACTTTTGCCTGCTGTGAGCCTTTGGGTTGAGCGGTCTACCAAAGGATGAGATACTTGTACGAGAAGCCCTACGAGTCCATTTGGGATGTTTCGTGCAATGTTGGTTTTATGCTGGCCAGCTTGTTGAAGAGGCATCCCGGAGCAAAGCACTACGGTACAGACATCAGCAATGTCATGGTTGCGGCGACCCGTGAGAACTGTCCCAGCTGTATTGCGACACAGTTCGACCTGGGCAACCTAGTGAATCCCGCTGTCTCCCCGCAAGATGTGGTGTATTCAGCATGGCATCAAGAAGATGCTCCGCGCTTCTTTGATGTAATCCTGGTCTCTGATGTCCTCCTGTTTATACGCTGGGGTGGGATACCCCCTATCTTGCTGCGATGCAGCTGCTGCTGCTCCATGTTTCGGAAATGGGCCCTGCCATCGCAGCGCACTTTCATCAAGAACATTGCCAGCCTGGCAAGGGATGAGGTGGTTTTCTCATACAACCAGGGCAACATCATTGTTTCGACCATGATGCAAGAGCTTGGAATCGAGTTTGATAAAAAGCACTCCATCTACAAGGTACCAGGTACTGCAAAGACGTGACTGCAGGATTTCTCAATCTCGGGTGTGGATTCGACAGCAGAAGGCGCGCCGCGCCACCCTCCAGGGTGAAGTCAAGAGACAGGCCGGCGAGGCCCCGCTCTCAAGAACGCTCACGCCGAGGCCCGGTTTCGAGGCTTGTAGAGACCGCAAATGTCCGCAGCTGCAAGTGGTCCCCTCCCATGTGTGATGTTGTGTGACAAGCTCCACTTGCCGAGACTATTGGTGTCGGACAGAGTCCCAGTGTGCCTGAGCCTGGAAAAAGCCGCCGAGCATGTGGGTTCCTGAAGATCTCTTGGCAGAACAGCAGCTGGACAGCGCGTCTATCTCAGGTTGTCTCGACCTTTGCAGCTGGGACTGGCGCCTCTTTACTGCAGCCAGAAAATCTCGTCAATCGTGTTCGGACTGGCAGACTTGCAAGGCGAACTGGCTGGATTTTGCGAAGATCTCCCTCTATCCAGCCGATGTGGTTTCCGACCCGCTTGTTGCTTGGCAAAACTTGGGCTTTTCACTCATCTCCGATGCCTGAGAAGCTGAGGAACTCTTCTTTGTGGTAGCCTGGGGCATTGCGTCTTGCTTGGGATGGCTGCTTGGCAGAAGTTGCCGAGTTCGAATTCTTTGAGCTGCGCATTGCCGTGCACTGCCTCTCTGCCCGGCTCTGCCCTTTTGAAGGTATGCACAGCTCTTCGCCGTCGCTGCCGGGGTGGATCCATTGGCCTTGCCGGACAGCGCGGCCTTCCGCTTGAAACAGCCGGGGCCGCAGCTTTGGGGGGAGCCAAGCAGAGCTTACGCCACAAGGAATGCTTCATCATCGGTCCTCCTGACTGCTGAGCCCAAGCCAATTGCACCCCAAAAAAATGTACAAACATGGGCTGTGCGAGGGCTGTCTGTCACCGCGCATACATGTAGCCTTGGTCAGTTGGGGGCTATCTACTACATGTGAGACAATGCAAGGCAAGGTGTTGCAAGGCGAGGCGATTTTCTCTGTGATCTCTGTGCAACACTTTTTGTGGTTGAAGACATATGAGGCTGGAGAAGTATTTGCCGTGGTTCTTCGACAATGGCCAGGAGTGTGACAGCTGTCAACTGACATTAGCATCTGCAGCGCCAGGATTTTTATTGCCTGTGTTGCCGCACCTTTGATGCCAGGAGTTCGCAACCAAGATCCTGCCACAAAGGCTATCACAGGAAAGTATGCCATTCCTGCCGAAAGAGGAAGTGGAGATGGATGATCTTTCGGCAGCTTGGCATCTCAAGCTGACTTGGAGCTACCTGCAAGATGGCACTTCTCCGGACTGGACCAGGAGGAGAAGACACCGAACTACAAGCCAGAAGGGGTGCTTGCGGCAATGGTGTTCAGTGTGCTGCTGCTCAATTTTTTCATGCTCGGTGGCTTGTCTAGAGCTGGTGCCGACAATTCAGGGGCCTTCCATTACGACATGCCATGATATCAGGAAAGCCGCTGCTGTTCTTGGGCCACGTGGTGCTGATGGCCGCGGCCTTCCAAGCTTTCCTGCTACTTGGAACGGTGAGTGGGAAGACAAGGACCTTTGCCATGCAAGTGCCGACATCACTGCACCCAGGACCGCCGGTCTTATGAGCTACGCATCACCGAACCGGATGTTGCCTGGGCTTTCGGGATCCAATTCGCCTCTGCTGCGCCACTTCACGCATGCAACGTTCAACATTTTGGCCACATGGCCTGACAGAGCAAAGCAGGTCTAGTCTAGTGCCAATGTTAGGTTGATTTCACGGTGTCGCCAATTTCGAATTACGCACTTGTCCAGGTGCTCTTCTGCTCTATCGGTGGCTTTCTCTGCATGTACGGGTCGCCTGCATGCATCAGCCATCATTAGCCCGAAGTCGAACACGACAATCTAGTGAGCTCCCTGCATTCCAAGGAGCCGCTTCCTGGCCCACAAGACCCCTGCTCCCCTGTCGAAGTCCTCTTGGATCGGGACCTGTGCCCTAGCCCTGCCTTGGCCTTGGCTCCCTTGCATCCGAGCTGTGGTGCTGTGAGAGGACTCTGCACGTGTGGACGGGATATGCGGCTCGGCGAGCCATGTGCGAGGAAGTCGCCGAGAGATGCGGAGTGTTCCTTCTGAGGTCACACTGGCGCTGCTCTTTGTGATGACATTCTCGGGAGCTGCCAAGATGTTTGCAGGACTGGATCGAAGCTAAAGCTGGCGGCTAACATCTCATCCACTCAGTCTGTGATTGCCGCAGGACTTACATCCGGCAGTGCTGATGATGTGGCGAAATTCCATTCGCACTTGGGCAAAACCCTTTATGGTTTTGCGGGGGCTGCTTGCCAGCAGCAGAGCGATTGCACATCCACGGCAGATGAGACGGTCAATGACGCGGAGGAGCAAGGTCTAACTTGTCACTTGGAGCTGGCACTCAGGTCAGTCAGGTCCTGGGCTACTTCATGCCGGAGCTACTGCCACTCTGGGGGCTTGGAGCCCGGCCGTTGCTGTACTTGCGATCTGTGGGACGTTCCTGGGTTTAGGTCTCTTGAGGTTGTCCCTGCTAGTTTCTTGAGCAAGGTATGGAAGTGCAGTCAGGAGTGCTGACCTTCCGTCCATGTCTTCAGGCGATTGCACAAGTCCTGATGCAACAGAGGTCTCTTCTGCTCTCTGTGATCCTCATCGCCTCGACATCAGCCACGATCTTCTTCCTGAACGGTCGCAGTCCTGAAGTCGTCAAGCGCATGAAGAGGCAATCGGGAGGGTGGTCTTTCTGCCATGAAACTATCCCAGTGTGCTCGGTCGAGTCAGGTTCGACAACGGATCCAACGAGGTGCAGGTTTCCTGGGAGCCAGCTCGGGAGGCGCTTGAAAGGCAGGCTCAGCTGACAGTCATCTCCGCTTAGCTGCCTCAGGCCTCCTTGAAAGTGGCCATGCCCACCTACCGTCCGGCCATCTCCAGCTCCTTGGGGCAAACTTCAAGGATCTGTTGACCCTGTTTGAACCTCCCCGGCACCACCTAGGCGCAGCAACGACACGGATCGAGAGCTTGCGGACCATCACGCGGCGCAATTCCTCCATCACTAGCATGGGGGCAGGCGGGGCCGGGTTCGAGGGCGAATCTAGACCTATAGGCAACAAAACAACAAAACAAATACATTCAACAAGACGAGAAACTCCCACTAGCGTGAATTTTTGAAGTGTGCTACCGTGGCCGCACATGCAATCGCAGGCGCTGTGTGCGGGTCCTTCGATTTAAAGGGTTGTTGGAAGCTTCTCTTGTCGAGCTGTAGCTGGAGTTTCGTGCAATGCTGAATGCGAGTTACACAATCCGTCTTGTTAATGGAGTTATCAAATCCTGGCTCGCATGGATTCCTCGAGAGCCCGGTGCCAATCACCAAGCCACCGTTCAAGCGCTTGAACACAAACGTCGCAGCCGCCACATTAGTCACCTCGAAACATCTTAGGAGTACGGAACAACAAGCTGACATGCCCTCACAACACCCGTGTGATGCGTTTTGCGCACGAGGGGACGTCCTTTACAAGTGTACACGGCCGACGACACTGGAATTGTAGTCAGGGCTTTTCTTGCGGCAGGGCAACTTTGGGATCATTTGCAGGTGTATTGACAGGACTGGTCGGACGACGCAGCAGTGACACGGCTGATGATGGCCTGTTCGGCAATGCATGCTTCTTGTTGGGCTTTCCCAGCCGCGTGCTCGCACTGAGGCCGGACCAAGAGTTTCGACTGGGATGCCGTTCTGGAAGCCTTCGAGGTCCAGGATCGAAAGGCCACCGCGGCGCTGTACTTCACGCACTGGCACAGGCACACAGCCGCAGAATCAATCGTTGTGTAGCGAGGCACTAGCGTCGAAGCAGCCCGCTGCCAAGGCAGACTCAGTCCAGCATGATTGCCAAAGCGCAAGCTGACTCTCGGATGCACTGCCTATTTTGGTTGTTTTGTCCGCATGTTCGATTTGTCACGCACCGCCCCATCGATGACTCATGAAGCGACATCCGACAGTAAATTAGATGCTCTGATGCATCTACGGCGAATCCAAGCCATTCCTCTGCAGCATGTCCTCCATCAATCTTTCGTCCTCAAAACAACAATGCCTGATCCGGCCGTGTCACTGTGCAGCATCTAGATAACAAGAGGCAGGTACCTGCCGCCCACATGTCATTGCCTGCAACCCATTCCGGGAGAGGACCAAACTGCAGCTTTGGGCAAGTGAGCGACAAAGGTAAAGGGAAGCATGAACCCAGTTGGGCACTTCCAGCTCCGAGGAGCTCCAGGGTTCCAACAACCTGGTGAACTTCCTCTCCTCGGCGCTCGCAACTTGACATGACTGGCAAGCGCAAGGTTTTCTTGGTTGAGGCTCTCGGCAAGGGCTCGAGTCGTTCTGTAGTCCTGCATGTGTTCGGGATGTCCACGAACTCTTCACGGACATGTCGTTCAAGTCGGGATATAACACAGCTCTTTGGCGCGAAGCTCTCTAACAAGGTGGCGCCTGGTGGTGAGCCATGACCAGTCCAGCGGCGTTCGTGGAGTGTCAGGCTAAGCAGGGGCCAATTTCAACCTGTGACCGGATGAAGCTTTGCCAATTCAACCTGCGGCTCTGCATGCGATGAGAGTCTCCCAGAGCCTACAGACTGGTGTCGCAAGCTTGATTGTGGGAATCGGAGATCAGGACACTATGACAATGTGCATGCCATAACTTTCCACTTGCGGACGCCTGCTTGCTTTGGGCTGTTATCGTCTTTTTCCCTGTTTGCATGCCTTTGCAAAAGGCAGGGCTTGAAATTGAGTCCAGGGCAGGCCCCGTGCAAGTAGGAACATTACTTGCGATTGGGGGGTTGTCTCCTGCATCCGAATGTCGATCTTGAACCGCGTTGCTTGGAAGCTTCCGAGTTGATTTTACGAAAGATCCAGTTGGATGGATTTCGTTCTCGGAAGCTTCGGGCGCCCCACTTGCAGCAGCTTGATGCGCGAAGAGTTTTGAGCCGATGAGCACGCTGAGTGCTTGTCGCCAATCTGCATTCATTTTTCTGCGGAGTGCATCAACATTCCCAGAAAGTCGCCTAGCCGCCATCAAGGCCGATTTGAAGATTAAGCGGGTCGCGTTCCTGTGGTCGGGGTGCCGTTGCCCACAAGTTGGCGACGCCCTACATCCAGCTTTGCCACAGAGCAGAGGACTTACACATAGGCTCTGCTCTGGGCCAGGTAAGGAGCCGGCGGTGCGGACAACAATTCTGGCCCGCGAGAACTCATGCTGTCAGGCCGTGTCATTTCGCACCTGGGCTTCTCTTGACATCACCAACTGCAGTGCTCATGACTCGAGCATGTGGGAGCTCGGGCCATGTCCACGATGGCTCGGTTGCAGAGGCCTAGACTGGTGCCAGCCTTAGCTGTCGGTATCACAACAATTTTTTCTCACAGACTTCGAGGTAGGAAAGCTTGGAGGCTTCGTACGATTGTCCTTGTGCTCAGGAGTAGCTTTGCATGAAGGGTGCGACCAGTGACGACGTGCATCCTGACATTTCATTAAAGGGCGCTGTGTCAGTGACCCGCACTTTCGCCGTAGAGCTTTCGCAGGGAGCTGTATACCTCAAGCTTAGGTCAGATTGGATAGCAGGCCATGTGGAGGATGTTTGGCCTTGATTGAACAGAACATGTCCACTAGGTCTGTGAGATAGACCGGCCAAGGTGCAGCAACTATTCTTGAACACCTGCCGCAGGACCAGCTAGACTATGCCTGGCACTTCCTCGTCGACCGGCTCAACTCAACGAGCCAAGGCCATGGGACTTTGGGGCTGTAGTCCTGCAAGGCATCGTGTCTACTCTGAGTGCGAGATGCGACGTGTTCCGCTTGAAGCTCAATTGCAGCGTCGTGGTGCAAGGTCAGCTTTCCTTCGCTTGTGCTATTATCGGCAGCTTCCTTGTCCTCTGCGGCCTCGTGGCAGCAGCAGAAGCACCGAAGCGGCAGGTGCCCGGTGACTCGGGTGACTTCTCGGTTCTGCACAGGTTCCACGTTGGTAAAGCCTGTCTTCGTTACGTCGCTTTCTGTGGCCTTGGCAGTGCGCATTGAAGAGGCCGGGGGCTGCAGTGAGGTCTGATTCCAGATGTCGAGACCGGGCGAGAGCTGCGCAGGTGGCTGCTTCACAGCAGAGCAGCACGGCTGGAGGCATCTGTGCGGTGCTGGTTGCGGCAGCTTGGCACCAGTACGGAGCCGGAAGAGGAAAAGCTCAGCAAGTGGAATGAGCCAGCTACACTCAAGGCATGCTCCTGTGTACTGGCACATCGCCTCTATCCAGTGGTCCTCTTCCTTGCAGGGGGCTTTGCTGCAGGCTGGATGCAGGCCATGTCGCGAGGTCGACTGGACATTGCATCTGCTGCCTGTTCCAGGACTGGGCACCATTTTCCTGCGTGAAGAGTTGAACCTCGAGCATGCCCACAAAGAGCTGCTGGCACTGAGCGTTCTGGTCGCAGCCACCTGGCGTCCCCCTGGGCTCTGAATGAATTAGGTCTCTGTGACCCCTATCTTGCAGCAGGCTCCCACGGTTTGGCACTAAGCTTCTGTGCATGTCAAGGTTGCTGGTGGCTTGCTGTTGAAGGAGTTTCGCTTGGCAGGACACTGCAGTGCTTCAACCCACTTTGACTTGCATCCGCCAAGCTGTGTGTCGCTTGAAAAGGATGGGGCTTGCTGACTCCCGTGGGCGGTGCCTACCTGCTCGCGACTAGCTGCCAGTTCTGGGAAGAGGATCGTGCAGGCGGTCCAGCTTGCCTCTGACAAAAGCACGGAGAAGACTGGAACCGTTTGCTCGCTCTTGATGTCTTTTGGAGGTCGTCATGTGATGTGGAGTTCAGTTGCAGCGGGGAACTCTCTGCTTTTCGCCACAATCTGGAGCTGCGGCCTCGATGTGACCGTGACCTGCTTCGGTGGCTCTAATGAGTTCATGCCCGCAGCCAAGGCCTGGGGACTTTGCTTGGAGTCCTGGCCGCATTAGCTGCCATTATACCCATTGGCGCAAACCGCAGTTGCTCTCGCTCTCTCTCTCTCTGCTCTTTTTTGCCAGGCTGGTACTGCCAGCTCATTGGCCCTGCTTTTGGCGAAGATCCTTTGAGGCTTCCTGCCGTCAAGCTGCACCAAGCTGACTCCTATGGCTCATGCTGAGTGTGTTTGATTGAAGCACCCGCCACCACATTTTGGTGCTTGACCAAGGCCGCTCTAGAGCGCAAGCTGCAGTCTTTTCACGTCCAGTTTCCGTTCCTCCTGGATGGTGGAGGCTTGCAGACTCGGACTCGAGTTGTTTGAGTGACAGAGGTCCGCATGCATGCCTCGAGACCGTTCGTGTGATCGCGGCATGTCCCGTACGACTGTACACGAAGCACCCACCGGGCAGCTCCGTTTCTTCCCTGTGGCGCAGGCCCGTGTCCGGCACGGCCGAGAATAACTTTGCAGGATACTTCGACCGCCTGCCTGTCAGAACCTTTCCTCAAAGGTGCAGTCCGCTTGCATTTTGGAGGCGTGCCTCGCTACGCAGCAAGCAGTTGCCGATTGTCCACAGGTGCTGTACAATTGGAGGCCAAAGCACGACCTGGAAAAGCTCCTCGGAGCAATTTAAACTTAAATTTTGAATTCCGCATGGATGGACAAGCAGCCGGCAGCATGAAGCAGCAGGAAGGGGGAAAAGTAATAGAGCCATCCACATCACGTATATGTGTGCCACGCTGTCACAGGGCTGGTCTGGTATGCCAAAGCTTCTGATCAGCTTCGGTGCGGTGATCGTGCTGCTGCTGAACGCTGCCTTGATCAGTGCCTCAACATGTCTACTGAGTTTCCAGCGTCTTTTGAGAATGACGCTGGACGATGCCCAATGTGACGGTGCTTAGAAATTCCTGCGGTGCATGCATGGGTCAATGCTGAGGTCAGCCGGTTCTCGTCCTGGGCCACGCTGTTCTGATGTCTTTGGCTTTCCTCCCACTGACTACGGCAGGCACGCGTTGCGACCTCTGCCCTTTCGCAACTTCTCTCGAGCCGAGATGGGCAGGTCTCCTGAGCTATGCCAGAGATCGGACCGGTGGCCTCGTCATGGAGCCCCTTCTTCGGCACGCTGCGCATGCATCCTTGGGTGCACTGACTGCAGACGGATTAGGGCCTTAGGGGTTAGCTGGGAAGCATTGCCCTTGCAATGACCGGCGAGCAAGCTAAGGCGTGCTGGTGCTGCTTTGTGCCATTCTGGGGTGCCTGTATCTCGACTCGACTAAAATTGGAGGAGCAAAGCATGGGCTTCCAGGGTAGGTGGGCACTGAGGTCCATGTACTGGAGGAGGCTCTGTGCAGCAGAGCCGCGACTGCCGCCAACATGGAGCAGCAGAGTCCACGTGTCGAGGCCGCAGTATCGTGTCGTCCAGAAGTACCACTTGTGTCCAGTGGCTGCGTGTATGTATGTGTTTACGCCTGTAGTAGGCAAGCAATCGAGTAATATCCAAAGAAGCACGTCTTCTTCGGTCTTCAGATGTTGGCAGTGATTGCCGCCGGACGTAAGTAAGGTCTTCGTGGGCTACGCAGTGCTCATGCTGCTTTTTGCATGCAGCTGCTCTGGTGCCGCCAAGCTGGTCGCTCTTCAAAGAGGACTGGCGGCACGGATGCAAAGTGGAAGGTTCGAGGAACCTGCTTGTATCAGGGGAGACGCTGAAATGTCTCAGACACCACTCCATCCATCCAGAGGAGACGAGCGGCAAGATGTCGGGACTTACCACTCTGTGTTGGGAAAGCTCATTTACATCCTGGCTGCTTTCAACCAGGCGCCCTTGTTGGTGCCAGCTGCCTGAGGCTAGGCGGGTGCAACTTGCGGCTCAAAGCTGTTCGGAGGTGCAAGGCTTCTTCCTGCCAGACCTGCTGCCGGTCTGGCTGGCGTTGCTTCTCACTGTATTGCTGGTGATTTCTGTGCCCTCCAGCTGATTTAATCATTGTCCCTCTTGCATCTTGGGCAGCGTGGAAGCTGAGGACCACTGTGCTGGCTTTCCTGTGCAGTCTGCCGCCGACTCTTGACTTCAACCGGAGCTTGGATCGGTTGCGGGATGATGCCGATTCTATCAGAACATTAAAGAACATGACAAGGTTAGCCCGGCTGTTACCAGCCAGAGCATTCACCGCTGTTACTTATCGGTGGCGCTGGGTGATGTCAAGCTTTGGGAGCAAAGCAAGTACTGCGACTGCTCTCTGTGCTGATCTGCGCCGCTGATGGCCTGCCCTTGCATGGACCTGTTTTGTTCGCATCCTCTACACGTATCTATTTTGCCACAGGAGGGATGTCATGTTGCCGTAGTTATGGTCAGAGATTTCATACTGCGGCAGTGAGGACATCCCCACCGAGAGCTGCAGCCCCTGTCAAGGTGGGGTCTGTAGCCGACATGAGGCAAAGATTGGACCAGCAAGCTGTCAGGAGGAGGTTCGGCGAGCACAGCTGCTGGGTCGGCTGATCCGTGGCCAGGCTCCACGTAAACTTCATCATGGTGTCTCGGATCGCAGGAACGCTTTCTCTTGCTAAATCTTGCTCAGACAATGCTGCAGCCTGGTCCAAGGTGCACAGCGTAAGCTGGCACGGCGGGCCGGGGACTTGTGATTTGGACGTGATTTCGTGGTCCCCGGCCCGCGAGGGCTACAGTGCAAAACCAGCCGACGCATGGCTCAGCCTTCAGTCTCGATGCAAGGATTGGGATGCTGTCGTCGCGGCCTTCGAGGTGCAGGACAGGCAGGGAGGAGTGCTGTTCGATTTAACTTCCCTGCCTCTTACACCACTGTTGAGGACAGCGCCAACATGGTGTCGCTGTGCTTCCTTCGCTGGCATCGCTTCGCACAGTCAGCACACATAACGAAAGCCCATGCTGAGCTGCGAAGCAGCGACAATATCGTGAATTTCTTGTCCTCGACCTTGCTGGGCGAGATGAGGCGGCCAGGGCCGGGGGGCCGGGTTTCACGCCATTTCCCTCTCGACTCTACACCTTGACGACCGGATGGGTATACTGTGATGGAATTGTTTGGGCTCTTCGGCAGGCCAAGTAGCCAGCAGAGCACCACACTGGTAGTCGAAGCTCATGACCTTTCAATATCTTTTCATATCCCCACAGCCGGACGTTTTGCATGTGCGAATGCACCAGTGTCGCCACCGCGTCGGTAGAGGGTTGTGAAGTCGGTTGCCTCAGAGCCTTCTGACATGGTGCCTTGTGATACCCTGGGTCATGCCGCCCGGCAAGTCCTCGGTGCGCGATTGCGATGAGAAGGAGCTGGTCGTCCCTCGGCTTTCTGCTTCACGCTTGCGGATTTCTTTCAGCAGACGGTTGGTGTGGTATTGAATACCTGGTATTGGTTATCAAGGTAGAGGAATCCGTGGACAGCCTGGGCTTCGGCTTCGTCGATTTGCCGCCGACGCACCCTGTCTAACGGATGATGGGGGGGGGGGAAGATGCAGAGAGGGAGGGATTCCTTCCAGCAGCGATGCATGGTAGCCTGTGATGCTGAGCAGTTGATTGTTGCAAGCGTTGGGGACGGTGCCAGTGCACGAAAGGCAGCGCACGGGCACACGCACGAAACGAGTGAGAACACGGCGGTCGACCCTTGTCCTTGAGAGCGACGGAGTGACTCCGCACGTGTGCAGGAAGTATGCCCCGCTGGTCATCAAGAACGTGAAGAAGGCTCGGCGGAGCCCTGTGCTGAGCGACAAAGAGGATGCAACGACCTCGTCAGGACTCCTGGGCTGCGGATGCTGGCATCATGGTCGGAAGCGAGCTTCTTGAGTTGAACGGCCAGGAAGCGCACCTCGTCCTTTCCACTTCGGAAACTTCTCACTGCAGCTTGCAGACTCACTTCGGCCAGTTCGTTTTTCCCAGCCAGCGTCAGATTGCCAGTCCGTGAAGTTACTGCCCTCGGTCCCGGCACCAGCAAAGTGGCAGTCTGCTGTACCAAGGGGCCAGATGTCTGCAGAAGACTTCCGAGCAGCGTTGAAGCAACGGCCACTCCGAGTGAAATTGGCACCGCCGATGGCCGAAGCCTGGCATCCTAGCTGCATTCGGCAGTCCGAAGTTACAGAGACGTGTGGTTTCCATTGGCTGCCATGTTAGGCCTGGGGCCTGGGAGGAGCTAGGAGTGGGAGCGGCAGCATCTCAAAAGTACAGTGCATGTCAGGAAACAAGTGGCAAACTTCCAGCAGCAGATGCTCGGCAAAGTATATAGATTCTGATGGGATCATCGAAAACAGATGCTCAAGCAAACCATGTTTCTGATACGCTCCATGCTCTTGCGACCGAGGGTGGTAACTCTGAGCCTACAAAAGGTGCGACTGCGAGAATTTCCTGTGGTCGCACTTGTTCAGAAGGAGAAAGTGCCAGTCGCAGGTCCACCTCCAGCAAGCCCTGAAGGACGAGGGCGAGCGAGTGAAGAAGGAGCTCGCCTGCGCCCAAGCGATTTTTTTTGCGTCTGAGTCTTAGCGCCTCGCCCTGACCGTGCTCAGGGCATTTGCACGGCCATTGAGAAGTCCAACAGCCTCCAGCACAAGGCCCTTTCCCCCGGGCCGCACCTGCCCCTCTGGAGGGCCCGGAGACCGCACGCCACGTCTCGAGTCTGGATATGTCAGGCGCAGCGGGTCAAGGACCTGGCCGAACGAGACCTTGAGAAACGAGCGCTGGAGGAACGCCTGTTGGCCGTACAGGCAGCGCACGAGCGCATGAGGGTTTTGTCACCCGCTCCACCATCTCACGAACACGAACTCAGACATCCCAACATCGGCTCCGTGAAGCGAACCCGTGGCACTTCCCAGGCCGAGCTCGAGGCCAAAAAGGCGGAGGTCGAGGCGCTCGAGGCACGGAGCCACGCAGCCGCAGGGCTGCGGGCGGAGTCAGCCTGGGGCCCAATGCCGAGTTTCGAGCGGCAGCGAGCGGCAGCTTAAGCTTTGCAAGGGGCAGAACGGCTCCGCTTTGCACGACGAGGCAGAGTCCAGGCAGCGCGTCGCTCCCGATTAGAGCTCTCCTTGCTCTCCGCCAGCTCTGCGTCCTCGCATGCTCTTCAGGCGCCGAGCTGACCGAGCTGACCTCGAGCGCGAGACGGCGGAGCTGCAAGAGGCGAAGGTACCCTGCGGACCGCACCGCGACACCGCGACACCGACTTTGCCGAGCTGTCGGCTGCAGGCTGCTTTGGATGCGGAGCGCGTGGCCGTGCAGCAGGAAAGAGCGCAAGTGGCGAAGCAGAGCTCCGAGCTCGAGGCGCCCTGGTTGAGCCGGCCCTGCCTCAAGCGCCATCGTAAGCTGCCTTCTGCTGAGGCCCTTCGGATCCAGCTTGAAGCAAGAGCCAGCGCTCAAGCCCAGCGCGAGGCAACGGCATGAACGGCAGAATGGGCGGGTCGGCGTGTGGTCCTTTCCAACTTGTCATAGGCCGAGCTCGAAACGAAAGAGGCATCCGTGCGTGAGGAGCACATACAGACCCCTCAGTCTCCTATGTAGTGATTTGTTTCCAATCCCCAGAGCGTCCACCAAGAACAGAGGAGCTGGAACGCCTGGAATCCCTAGCTGCTCTTGAGGTTGCGACCTGGACCGCACTAAAGCTGCTACTGTAGCTGCCGGCCATAACCCGCTCCCGACTTTCAGGTCGAGGAGGAGCTCTCCAAAGGGCGTGCCTGGACCGAGCTCGTACGGCGTGCGGTCGTAACCGTCGTAACTCGTAGCCTAGTGATCCCGCAACTTCCAAGCTTTCGATTTGACATCGAGGCGCATCGCTGTTGGCTGCACAGCCTTTGCTACAGCTCCTGGAAGCAGAGGTATCGCCTGCAACTGTGTTTCTCTGGAGAAAGCTGGCAACTGGCGCGACCAGGTGGAAAGTGACGCGGGATCTGCAAGCCCTGGCAGCCCGCCACGACCTGCCAGCCGGAGCCCCTCGAGATCGCAAAGACCCTCGCAGACGTCCACCAGGATGTCAATTGCGAGGCAGTCGCTCACTGCAGCCAGAATGACGCAGCTCAAGGCAGCGGCGGCGCGACTCGGCAGATCATATTGCAGGAAGGTGTTGCAAGATTGCAGACAAATGCCTTGCGGGTTTCAGAGAGAGAGGGGGGACCTGAGCGAAGATCACGAATACCCCAGGCCTGTGCAGGAAGCAGATGATGATTCCGAAGAGATGTTCTGACCTCAAGTCCGCAGCATCGTTTGTGCATTGCTTTGCGGCAAAAAGCCACAAAGCATGAAGCTCTAGACTCCCGAGACCACGGCTAATGTCAGCTGGCTCGTTTCCAAGACGTCCGTACCACCCGCATTCAAAGTCAGTGCGGGGCTGCCTGAAATGGCAACCGGCCAAGTTGCGCTGTTTTCCCAGACTTCTGGTGTCTCAATGCGGGCCGCTGCAAAAAGCAGGTAGGTCTGTAGCGATAGCTGATAGCTGCGGCGGGCATCAGGGGCATTCATTGCATCTCTGTCGAAGGATGTCTCTCTGTCGCCGTGCAAGGTGGCGAGAGAACAACTTGAGCCAGCATCGGGAGCACCTCCATGAAAGTGACGTCAAGGTCTTGGGAGCTGAGGGGCCGCCATGCTCCAGTGCAGAAGCTGGAGCCCCGCTATGATGCTATGAATTGTATAATTGCCGGCTGTCTGCTTCGCGGGCTCGAAAACAGGGCCTGCGGGCAGTGCAGGCTTTTGCCAAATCCCAGGTCACCAAGTATCTGGGCCAAAGAGCCAGCAGCAGCTCTGCTGAAGGCTCCTGTAGGAGTTAGATTTCCAGGCTCCACTCGTTCCACCAGTGCGGCGCTGCACTGTTTCTGTCAGAGGAACCGCATGGAAGAAACGTTGTTTCGAGCCATTCCAGCCACCTCCATTGAGCTCCTCGTGTCTCTCGTTAAGGCTGCGCGCCTTTGCAAGAAGTTCTTGGCTTTTAGTTCCCGCGTTTCAGCACAGTTGCTGGTAGCTGAAGTGTTTGAGGGTTTGACCCGTGGCCATGAGACACTTCCTGGCTTTTGTGCCAGCGGCACTCCTGACACTCCTGCTTCCTGTGAGACATCTCCGTGGCTTCATCGCGCCTGGGACGGGTCAAAGCTCTCCTTCCCGAAGACCTCTCACGAAGGCATGTGAAGCAGCGGCTGTGAGCGCACACAGCCCTGCTCACGATGCGCACGCTGCTACGAGGGTTCTCGCAGGATTGGCGCTGGGCTTGCTCCTTGGAGCGGCGAGCGTGCCAGCGCTGCAAGCTCACGAGTCTGCGGCACCAAACTGCGACCGGTCGCCTCGCTACCAATATCAGGCAACTTTGCAAGAGTTCACGCGAGCCAGTGAAATCCGCAGAAAAGAAAGACGCCTCAAGCTAGTACAGCAGCAGCTGAAGGAGCACGGCAAGGTGGCCATAGACAAGCTGTGCCTCGAGAGCGGAACCGGCAGAAGCCTTTAGGAGTCGAAAGTCGAGAAGTAGCAAGAGCTCCCCCGAGCCCCGGGCGAGAAATCGGCAGTGATTCGCGTAGATTCCTTTCGTTCGATGTACAGCGAGGTGCTCGGAATGAAGGTGGTTTTACCATGCCTAGCACCATCTGGGAGCAGCTTACAGCAAAGCTAGACCCCAGCTTCAGGTTAGGTGCCTCATGGCAGAAAGGATTTTGCAGGGCACCAGTCGGTGGTATGCACTGGAGAGGAACTTGGCAAGGCCACTAGGCAGATCCTTTCGAGCCGGATGGTGTTGCGAAGGGAGGCGCTAGCGGGCACATCTGATGCTGATTCATTCTCAAGGGGCAGACGGGGCGAAAAGGCTTGCGATTGTACCAGAGAGGAAGTCCATGCTTTCACACATGCTGCTTGCCTCGGCACGTTCGCACAGTGACGTTGCACATCTGCAGTCTGGCTAAACCAGGTTCTTCCGTAGCCTGGGTCATGACTCGACGCAGCCGGCGCTTGTGGCTGGGCTTGCTTGCAGCAGCCGTCTCGCTGAAATGCAGCATGCTCCGTGATACCGTCAGCAAGGCGCCTGCTCTCTAAGGAGCTGATGTTAGTCACGTTCGTCACTAATTAGACACTCTCTTCAGCTCTCCAGCTCTCCAGGCCGAGGCCATGGTTTTCCGGCCTTGGCGTCCCCGAGACGAGTCGCCAGACAGCACGACCCTCCCAGCAGTGACCACGCTGCTGGTCGGAGTCTTCATAGGGGTGGGCGCTTTCCAGGATTACCCGGCAATGCCGCAACTCTTTGAGTCCGTGAAGGACAAAGCCTGGAGAAGCTCCAGAAAAGGCAGACTCTCTGAGCGATGCGCCCGATACAGATCCATCTCCCATGATGCTGGGCGGCGCTTTCGCGATGAAAGTCATTCAAGTGATCCACAGAGGTCCAAGATGTGCCGGCAGCCAAGTCCATGAGCCCAGAACCGCGGAATGCGTTGCTCGAGGTTGCTCGAGTCTGTCGAAGGCGGCAGGCTGTCGACCGCGGCTGGGGTCTTGTCCACTGGACTCGCACTGGACTTGCTCCAGTTGCGAAAGCGAGTGGTTGGAGTGCCAAGGAGCGACAGTGAGTGACCAGAGCGTAATGTAGTAGTAATACAGTACCAAAAGAGTGTGATGTGAATACCGACAATAATTCGAAGGCTGAAGAGGAGACGGGCACCGCTGTGGGATGACATGCAATGAAGGACAAGACGAGTATCAGTGGTGGGTTTTGGTATGCACCCACCTCCTCTCAAAGCCTGAGGCAACTTTTAATCGTCCTGCGAGCCGAGCCGCTTAGCCAGCAGACAAGCAAAAAGTCTACGAATATCTTCTCGGAAACACTTGGCCCAGTATTTGTCGGAGGGCCATTGGGAGCCGAAACTTGCGCAGACCACGAGGTGTACTGTCCAACCAACGTTTAGGAAGTCCAACCAGCCAGTGAAGCATGGGATTCGATGCGGGACCCTTTCCTTCTCCTCTCTTTCTGGCACCTGATTGGTTTGATAATGCCGCATTTCTCTGTCGGATAAGGGTTCACCGAGAGAGAAAACCCATGTAGATCGACCGACCGTGCCACCTACGGAAGATTGCTGACATTCCAGACCGGTGAACTGACAATGACGTAGTGACACTGACGTACCGCAGGATCGAGCTTGCACCTCGTGCTTCGATCTCGCATCGGAGTGTCGGAAGGGAAGCTCCGGAAGCTGAGAGCAAGGAAAAATCCGACGAGGTTGACCTGTCACATGGCTCTCTCAATGCGAGTCCGAGTCCCTTCCGAGGGTTTTTGTGCGGAACCTCTTTTCAATCTGCTTGTCCCATGAAGGCCAGATCGAGAAGGTTTAAGGACTTTCAGAGACAGGGCATAGAGATCAAGCAGTGCTTGCGCCACATCAAGGGAGATGAAGCAAGCACTTTCCGGGGAATCGTAAGATGCAGTTGGCAACGTGCCTTTTTCAAACGCCCCTTCCAATCAGTTACCGTGATAAAGTGCGAAGTCATGCGAGAAGCACACCATGCGGCACGGCAAGCAAATGCTGGCATTTGCGGCTCAAGCTGGTGGTTGCCTTCCATGTGTGCTGGTCCGGCCATAGTGGCGCATCTTCCTTGGTTCCCAATGCACGCCTGTTGCCTGTAAAAGATGCAGAGACGCGAGGTCGCCACTATGGCCAAGCGGCACTTGGCGGGAATGGTGCGGTCGAGCCCAAACGTGGTGAAGTTTGACTCCGAACCTGAAGAGCCAGAGCCTCGGACTTGGACCCGTTGGACCCGGCCGAAGAGTCGCAAATTTTTGCATGTCCAAAGCTCCCTTTGGCTGGGAAGGTCCTCGCGCCCAAACTCCTCGCCATCCACGCGGCCTCCCCGCGCGCAGTCCAGCAATGCACGGGGCCAAACTGGCTTTTGATGTCTTGATGTGTTTTCTTAGTTTCAGGTTGGGCTTGGACCCGTTCAGTACTACAGAAGGTTTGAAGGCAAGAAGTCTCAGCCATGCTGCAGGCGTGGCACGATGTCATGGAGATGTGCCGGAAAGGTTTCACCACAAAAATGAACAGCTCCTTGGACGAGAGATTGAAGAAGCCAGCTGTTTAAGTTTGGGGTGTTGGGCGGTGTGTTGCTGGTGCGCCATCCTCTCTATCACTCGTGCAGGTGTGGGCAATGAGATATTGCAGGATGCGCGCTGCTGAGACTGCCAACGTGCAGCGCAGACTCAGACATGCACACAAACCCGCTGCGAGGTGCGCAGCGAAGTTCAGCGTGCGGTTGCGCAGCTGAAGTACGAAATCTCCAGCATGTTGGAGGCCGCCTGCAGAAAGAACATGAAGCGGCTGTCAAGGAGAGGGAGACGCTTCATTTGAGTAGAGGCCAGAGAAAAGACTTCCAGCAACAAAATGGAGTGACCCGTCTGCAGATGAAGTTGAATTGATGTTCTCGCCGCACAGGAAGTACAGTAGTCGTGCGCAGAAATTCAGCAGGTAATATAGAAGTGGTCTGGCACTAGGTCCGTGCTTCTCAACATAGACAAGCTGCAGAAGTTGCGGCCTCAGCTTTGCACTGTTCGCCCAGGATGCAGACCCGTGACAACTCCAGGACCACCGAAGAAGGGGTCATGAACATTCACTTCGATCTGTCTCCAGTCCTGCAGGCCTCGGCTGCCCTGGCTAGTGCGAACCTGGTTCCTTCGACACGCTGACATGACAGGAGATGCAGCGAGTTAACGACATCCATGTCGAGGCTCGCAAGCGTCGAGCCGAGCAGCGCCAAGCGGTGCCGCTCCACAACCGCTTCTGCCCTGTCAGGACCGCAAGAGACTGGAAGGACAAATGGAGAAGCTTGGGCAGCAGATGAAAGAGGCAGGGGAAAGGGGAGGGATCCTCTTGACAAAGCTGCAGAGACCCGGAGACGGAGACTGGCTTTCAGGTCCAGGTCCGGGCAGACCTAGAAGAGGAGTGAGTGGCTGAGTGTCCCAATCCCAAGCTGTCAAGACACGGAAACAGCAGGAGCGGCTCCAGAAGTTGCTCGAGAAGCAGGAGCAGACTGACGCTCTGCTGCACCGTCGACCCCCGTGCAAGCGCTTGATCGGGAAGTTACCAAGGAGAGTTTGATCGTCGGCGTCCAGTGCCTAGTTGCCTAGTGTTCTAGTGCCACGTGCAGATCCTCTCAAGGCTTTGTGCCGCGAGGTTCAGAAGTTCCAGGACATGCTGGCGCTGTCCATCGAGCAGACGACAGACGAGGTTGGGAAGTGCACAAATGCTCGGACGGTATGTGGCAGAGTTCGTGAGCTCAGGTTCAAAAGTCAGGCGTGCAGGTGCACCAGGACGGTGGTTATGCCAGAGTATGCCATCGCCCCACGTTATCCTGCTGGTGGGGTTCTCATCGGTAATGTTAAGACGAGCATCATGAGCATCTTGTGCACGTCAGCATTTGCCCAGTCTCCTTGCGGAGTTGAGCGCAGAAGCCACCAGGAAAGTGAGGGAGAGATCGCTGGGGCGGGATTTCAGTGGTTGCACAACTGCCACCCCAAGATTCGAGCCTAAGCGTGGGGGATGTGCAAGAGCCCCCCTCAAATCCACCAGTCAATGCGCATAGTTGCTAAGTGCTGCCGCACTCGGCGGCTGGCATCTGTTTTCGATGGAGGGGGTGCCCCGTGAACATCCGTGAACCACCAGGTTGGGGACTCCCTACAGCTGAGACACCGTCGCTTGAAAAAGCGCCTGCAAATAAACATGCGGGTTGGGTCGCATGCTGGCATCGTAGATCAGAAAGCGAAAGAGCGGGGGGGACAGAAGAAGACGCGGCAAACAAGCGCAGGACTACGACAACCTGGTCGCTTTCAACACTGAGACGTCGAGGCTGTGAAGATGACGCAATGCCCTGCACTCTGAAAGCTGCACCATGGTCCTGACAGGCAGCTCATGCAGCGGCTCGAGGTCCGAACTTCACAGTTCCCTCACTCGCTGTGGGGCCTGCGGGCATTGGGCGTTTTGCGAGGAGCCTTTGACCATGGACACCACGGAGCTGCATCGGGAGCTGAAGAAAAACCAGACGGTCGCTGCCCAAAAGTCTCAGCACCGTTCTCCAGGGGCATTTGGTTTGGTTGCATGGCCATTGCGCGCCTCGCGGGTGACTGCCTTCTCGTATAGGCATTGTCTGCCGACTTCCGCATGGTTCTGAGCGAGATTGGAAAGATCCAGCAAGCGCTGCATCTGGACTTCGTGCAGCGCTCAATTCAGCATCGGCAGCTGACTCTCGTGAATTGATGTTCGGCTTGCCTGGAGCAAGCACCAGAAATAATTGCCGCGACCCGCCAAGATTCAGATGGCGGAATTCGTGAAAGAGGAGAAGGCACGCAGCAACCGGAAAGATCATCATTCTTCTCTTTGATGCTTGTCGCAGGAGCAAAAGCGTCCAAGCCTCCCGCCCGTGGAAGCTGCGTGCGTGGAGGCCCCATCACCGGAGCCGAAGCTGGTCGAGGCCGGCTCCGTCTCCGTGCTGTGCGCGACGATCTCACGTCAAGAAGGGACTTGTGCTAGCAGATATGCCGGGACGTGCAGGCTGCAGGGACCTGCCAAGAGATGATGTCTAGTTTGGTTTGTCCTCTTCTTACGCTGCGTTGCGTGACTACGCACCATCTTCCGCCAAGAACAAGGGCTTGGTATGCCGCACGGTAGGTTGCGCGGAGTTGTCAATGTTGTTAGCTCTCGGCTGAGGGGCCCATGTGCCAAGGCTTTTGTTGTGTGCCGGGTGTCGTTTGCGAAGATGGTTATGCCTTCTTAAAAGCAGCCCAAGCGGAAATGCTCAAGACACGGTGATGAAGACAAGGAACTATGCACAAGATACTGCTTGTGTGTTAAGACATGTAGAAAGGCACATGGTCTGTATGCGGCATAGCGGCATACCCTGATCGAGTGTTTGAGCTGCGCTTTGAAATCGACTGTTTCTGGGAAGGAGCCGAAGGCACGGGCAGTGCCAAGCGTTGCGCACACCGGTGCGCAGAGCATGGCAGTGGGCCACGTGACGGACAAGGCGGTGTGGCAGCAAACTGCTTGTGCTAATGAGGTGATGGATATATGATACATAGTATATAGATACAGGGCCATGAGAGGGCAACATAGGGCAACCCTGCAAAGGAAAGGCCCAGATCCTCGCTGAAGCATAGCGCGAGCGCTCCCGCGGACAAGGCCGTATTGTGTACGCGTTCGTATACTTGCATGGAGTTTTGCCGCTTTGCCAGGAAGAGTCCACGTTGAACATGTCAATGACCAGTGAGCTGGTCTATGCGGCGGCGAAGCGCGGGAGAAGCTTGGCTTGAACAGCATTTGCACCCAGCCGGCCCACTCTTTGCATGTTACCTTGCTAGGTGTTGGTCCCGGAGTTAATTCAGAGAATGCGTCCTCCTGAGTCTGTGGACATTGCTTCGCAACTTCGCTTGTTCCTGGTTGTCAGCGTAGTTTCCAGGCGTTCTCGGCCAAGAAGCACAAGCGCGTCCGAGAATTTTGGAGTCAAACGGAGCCGAATCCTGTGGAAACGACACTTGGTTTGCTCTTGAGTTGCGCCTTTCAGCTGATGCTGTCCTTCTGCTTCGCACGTGTTCCATCTGCTGAAGCCAGGACTGCCGTCCAGACAGACCCAGTGAAGTTCCAGACGCAGCGCGGCAGAAGGAGCGGGTTCAGCTCTTCTGCAAGATTCCGTCAGTGCGGTGCTCGCGATGCTGTTCCAGGAGTACGCACCCCAGCGGTGAAAAGACCTTGGCCGCGCCCAAGCCCAAGCCGAAACCCAAACCCCAAAGAGTCTTTCAGGATGCCGAGGCTCGGGATCAGCCGTAACCTGCATGGTCTCACATGGAATTGCCCCGCAGGCGATGAAGCAAAAGGCGCGCCAAGCGCGAGTCAAGCCGCCCCTCGTATGCAGAAAAGACTTCGGAAATGGCCGTTGGGTTTATACACTTGCAGATGCTTTATCCGCACTCCGTACGCGGACCTGCATGCCAGAGTGCATCCCGGCTCTCTTGCCTGGCTCAAGGCAGTACAACGTGTTCGACCGCTATTACAAGACGGTTTGCTGGCTCAGATGTGCAGGCCTCGCCGAACACTGGCTGTGGCTGTATTTGTGTTTGCCCAGGGCTGTGCACAGTTCGTCGCCAAGCACTGGTTGCACCTTGTCTGCACGCAACTCCTCGGACAATCGCATGGGTCCAAGTGTAGCTAAGTGCTGCTAGCCAAGGTTCGAATATGCAACTCTGGATGCTCAGCTGCACCAAAAACTAGAATAGTAACTGCAAGTCGCTATGTTTCAGCTTATTTGACAGCTGCGTTCATCCGAGTTTGTGGTGTGCTTGAATACGGTCTGGATCGCCATCGACACGGACTTGAATACCTTCTCCATTATCACGAATGCGCCCATTGAGTTCCAGGCAATGTAGGGGGCAAAACCTTCCACACATTCACATTCCCACACCCTGTTCCCCATCACCAGATCGCGGAGAACTTCTTCTGCGGCTACTTTTTCTGCCTCATGCCGGCACTAAACTCTGATGATGACGTTTTTTGCATGTATATAGTGTGAGGTGAGCTGCTCATTCGGTTCTGCGCCTTCCAACAAAAGAGGCCTGAGTCAGCTTTCCGCTGCCAATGCATGAACTGTGTATTTGCTAGACTCTGCCATTGCTGAAGGCATTGCTTGCAAGACTATTGGTTTCTTTTCGACCTTTTCCTTGCTGGGCCCTTATCCAGTGATTCAGAGGCAGAAGTCGACGTAGAAATTCACAGACGTGGGGCCTCTCCACAGGTAGTACTGATGGTTGCAGAGACATGGATTGTCCCGCTGGTGTTCAATGCGCTTGGATTGAGGGAGCAGGCCGCCTTCCGAAGTTTGAGCTGCCGTAGTGTCGTAGATGGATGATTCCAGCATTGCATAAATCGTTGGATGTTCCATGATGCCGCCATATTTCAGGTTCGAGAGTTGGAGCGGCATCAAAGCATTTTTCAGAGTTCGCGAGATTGAATGCGTCGAAGCTGGAATACACGAAGATTTGGGTTGCGTGCCGAGTTAGAGTTAGGAGGTTTGACGGGCCATTTTGAAGCGTTTGAGTTCGAGAGGTAAATGGTGGTGTCCAGCAGGTCCATGCCTATGCAAATCTACGTTCACGGAATGAAATTAGTCTATGCCCGCTTGCGCAAGTCCCGCATCTATACCGCAATCCTTATGAACTACTACTCGAAGCATATAGGGTTTCACATTCAAACTGTCACCACACTAGTCCCTTCACATGGAAACGCTGTCGAGGGTTCAAGTTCGAGAAAGCATACTCGCGACTCGTGACACTCTTGCCCTCGCCAAGAGGACCTCGAAGGCACTGTCAACACTGACTTGCTACGAATTCTGCGGCTGGCACGGAGCCCGTTTCGTGTGCCACCCTGCGCGAGAACATTAAGAACTTGCAGAGGTTCGCATCCTGCGGCTGTCACGCATGGCGAAACTGTTGCGCGCTGTGCCAGAGCTGGCCGCTGGCCAAGTCGGCTCAGTGTTTCTGTTTCTGTCGAAGGAATTTGTACGAAAAGAAATCATGCAGACCCACTCCAGGTCATCATCATAAAGGGCATCGGATTTGCAGTCAGGGTCCCAGAAAGGTCAAGCCGAACCGCCGTGGACACTGCACAGCACACATGCTTCCGCACAGAGGCACGCTCCGTCATCGTGTTCTTTATGCTGTGGACGATGCACCCCAGCCGCAATAACAAGTCACTAGGTCATGGCAAACGGCCGGTTCCTTGCCAGACCAACTCGATTTCGTGCTTCTGAGTCTCTCCTGCTGACCACGTCTGTTATCATTTTGCCATGGGCAAACATAAACCAGCACAACTGAAGCTTACTTCCAGGATCATCTATGTTTTTGCCATCCTCTTGCGGCAGTTGACGCAGAGCAGGGCGCACAATCCGGTCGAGCTGATATGCTGCTTCTGCTTCAGCAGCATCTCTCCTGCGAAGCTACACCAGGTCACGACGTTGGACCAAAGTACTTCTCCTCAGTGTCCCATGCCATGATGACTCTGTTGCGGGACCCTGAGAGCGCTGGAAGGGCACATGAACAACCATACGATTCCCGTGCTGGTCGCTGAGTCTTAACGGCATCGTGCCCAACCAAGCCAACATCATTAACGAAGTTGGCGCGGGCCGCAGCCGCCGCAGCCTTGAGATGCCTCGGCTGAGAGCAGACGCTTTGCAAAGGCGTGGCCTCTTGGGCCTTTTGGTTGATCTTGGTGCTGCTTGGCCGCAACGACCTCTGCAAAGCTGGGGCGGGGTGACACTTACAATGCTAAGGTGCTTTGTGCTACTGGCATCCGTCGCTCAGCATTGACCCAGCATAGCGGACGCAGGGTCCTCTTGCTGGAGTTGAGTGCAGATGACTCAGGTAACCATCATGTACATGCTGGTCGGGGTGCTCGTGGAGGTCATGACTGTCATATCTGCCACTGAAAAGGAGGGTATGACAGTGTCTGCCGACTGCAGTGAACCGGACCTTCTTTCCTTGGTGTTGGCTGCAAGCAGAAGGTTTCAAGTGCATTGAGAAAAACCTCCGCTTGGGTGGGACTCAGGTCTTATGTGGCCTCGACTCTACGACAGCTCATGCAGCAGCTCAATTACAGCACTGCCTCCTGGGCAGCACGAAGCATTGGGAAGCATGTGCACGAAGATAAGGGGCTCATTGGTGTTCCCTGCTCTTACTCGTCGACGGCTTAGGTGTCCTTGGCTACAGAGTTTATGACCACTTCTGCCCATGCAAAGTTTTCTCCAAACAAAGTTGCCGACAGCACATGTATCATGCCGTGTTGATGCGAGGAACCTTTGCCTTGGCGTCCGGTAAAAATCGAACACCCCACTTGTTGCTGTGAACTGAGCTCCGGGTCCTTTTTTGTGACACATCGGCACCTCCTCCTCCTCCTCCTCCTCCTCCACCTTCCCCCCCTCCTTGACTACATGACCTCGTTTGTCTTTTGAGAGAAGCTTCGGCACAGCCGTACAGAATTGCCTGCAGTCGCGACGAAGCAAGCTTGCTATTGCTTATTCGTATTATTATTGATCTAGTTTGTGCCTTTATTATGGTGCCTTCTGGAAACTGAGGTTGGATTCGGTTGGATTGGGCTGTAGGATGTGTAGGGTACTTATGAGAGTCGGGTCCAACCTCATGTGGAGTTGCAGTACATCGGGCCAGTTGTTGTGAAGCCTTGCCTGCCCTGAGTCATAGTGAGTCGAACGGGGCGTCCCTGCAAGTTTTGCCGAACATGTTGATGTTAGCGCCCGAGAGTGATCGGACCGTCACCGTCCTGATGCCAAGGAGGTGCCGCTATCCCAACGTGAGTTCCAAGCCTTGTTGGTGGAGGAGGAGCATCCTGGACCGCAGATTTGAAAGTCTAGAGTCTAGGACCCCAGGAGTCGAGGATGGAAAGGAGGGCCGAAAAGCAACATGAAGCATCTCGCGACTAATCTGATAGTGATACCATCCCGGAAGCCTGCTGCACCCAGGGTGGACCGTCTCCTGAGCGGGATGGGGGTTGACGTCGTAGCGCTGCTTGGATGTGATATTCCCCTCATACTGATACTGGGACCTCTGCCGCAATCCACCCGCCCAGGCTCGTCGATACGGCCGATGACAGGGGCTTAGTGCGCAGGGACTGGCAGGTTGCGCTGAGAACTCTGCTTTCAAGGTCATCTATGAGGACATGAACAAAATGGGAAAGAGCACCTTAACCTGCACCTGCGACTCCAAGTGGGTCTTTGCCGACCAGGGTATTGGGAAAGCGGTGCGACTGTGGGAGGGAGGACTGTCAGAAAGGTCCATGCGGTGTTCCGAGCACGCTTTTGCAAGATGCACGTCCAAAGGCATGACCTTTGAGAACTTGGTCGACACGATTCTCAACCTTCGTGGCAAGAACACGGCCACGGTGAAGGATTGGATGGTGTGGTATCTCGGTCCGCTCGATCTGCGGAATCATCCAAGCACCTGGACAGGATGTCAAAGAGCAGGCTCGCGTCATAAAGGCCTGTTGCTGAGCTGCAGCACCTGCAACGAGTTACATCGCAGACGCCGTCAGTGTGGTTTTGTGTCGCAGTCGATGGTGCAGCACACCCTGAATGCTAACGGCAACAAGGCCCGGGAAAAATCACTGGAATCAGATGCTTTCCGTAATGCAGCTGTCTCTGGAAAGGTGATGGAGGAGTTCCAGGTCTTGCGTGGCAAACTCAGAGAAAGAGCTGCGGGCGAGCGGCCTGCTGGTCTGAGCAGCTTCTGTCCCTGCGTGGCCGTATTTGTAGGCACCGAGCTTGCGGCACTGCGGGAAGAAGCCCTGCGACGAGCAACTTGGCATGTCCAGCTTCTTCACCGCTCTTCTGGTTCCTACTCCCGCTGCCGTTCCAGATCTGCAAGATGCTCAGGATGAGGATGAGGACGCAGAGGCAGATGCTGCTCGGATATTCCAAGTGGGTAGTTACTTGCGCGGTATTGGCGAATGGCAGAGGGAGACCCGTCTGAGGATTTCAATGCTCTTGGATTTCAGATGGAGGAGACGGAGCCTTTCCCTGCCAACTCACGTGACTTGTCTGCTGGGAGATGCTCACCGCTTTGATCTGCTAATCTGCCAAACCAAGGAGGGCTGGACACACCCGAAGAGCCTTTGCCAGGAGCGAGTTCCTTCCTGTCTTGCTCTGCTTCTCTGCTGTTTTGCTTGGCTGTATGTTGCCCAAGCAGGCGGCGACGTGAGCGAGGCTCCGGAGGCAGAGGAAGTCTAGCCGCCGAGCCTGCCACCGCCGACCGAGGCCGCTGAGACAAGGGAAGCGAAAGTGAGTCATAATGTGTGTGGTAGTGATGATCATAAGAATGGGATCGGGGACACGGCCTTACTCTATTAAGTTAACCCGCAAGCCCCCATTGTCTGGCCGCCGTTGGGGCGTGGCCCTGCCATGAGGTTTTCCGGCACTGCGGAGTGGCAGCTATCACCAGCTAGCAGCTGCCATAGTGGAAGAGTACTTCGTGGCCCGACCAGGGGCTTTCAAGAATTTACCTGGTGGAGGGCGCGACCTTCACAGATCGGAATTCTGCGGCTATTCTGCTTATTGGCTTGTTGCCGAAAAGGCGTACTGGACCAAGGCATAAAGGCCGTAAAGTGTATCTTATTGTAGTCGATGGATACTCCACGATCCTGAACTTCATGCAGCAGTAACTTACTGGCCTTGTTTGATCCGATGAAGATGGGTCGTGGAGACATGATGGTCCCGAGCTTGGAATAACAGAAAATTCGATTTAGAAAGAGCTGAAGCCCGGGCCATCGGAATTGAAGTGATAGACTTCTTCTTCCCTCCTGCTGCGAGAAAAACTCGGGCCGCCGGTACAAATCAGCTGCAAATGAGTAGCGATTGGAAGTCGCCAAGCATTCAGAGCCTGCTGATCTGCCTGGCGACGAAAATGGGAGGGGCGCCAAAGGCGCTACGCAGAACATAAAGGGTGTCAGGGCGAAAGACACACCCTGGACTCAGTGTCGAAGACGTTGCGCTCAACGGGCCAAAGATGCGTCACCTGCGAACTCTTGGCTTCCTGGCGCACTTCTTTTTTGCATGAGCTGTTGCACCCATACTGTACGTTGCGGAGTGCCGCGCGCACAGTTGAGGACTTGTTGAAAGAGACGTACATGCCTGTCGTCGCAAGCGCCAGATGTCGAACGACGTTTTACCAAAGGGAACATTCGCTTTCGGCCTAATTAGAAGGCAAGCTTGCCCGACCTGTTGTTCAGTCGCCATGCTAGAACTTTGAAACCGCATTGCAGAGTGGTCAGCTCCGACATTCTGCACCCTTCATACATGTAGTCAAACTGGAGTATCTTAGCAAGTACTGACAGCTTTTGATAGCTTCTTCATTGCGTGATACCTGGAATTCTTGGCGTCATCCTGCACAAATCGAAGTGGGTTGGTTTTGGTCGGTGTGGGTTTGGGAGTCCGACGGCCGTCTGCAGTTCAAATGGTTGGACAAAGAACATGGATGGATGCAATTGGGCATGGAGTTACCGGCACCGAGGGCTTTGACTCGATTTCTGCAGTACCTGCCTCTGGCTGCTACTAATCGTGGTATGCCTTTCGCACTGATGCTCCATACGGCCTCTGATGCATGCTTTATGCCCCATTTGTTGATGTCGTTGCAAGGCAGCGTGTTTACACAGCTTCCCATTCTTTTGTTTGAGCAAGTCCCGCCTAATTGGGTCAATCGTGTGCAGAGTCTTTAGGCCTGTGGTGGTTTTGTTGTGTCGAACAACGACATAACGGCTTGCTTCTTCGCGGCATGATCGACTCGAGTCCGTGAGAGAGAGAGAGAGTGCTTCAAAGCAGCCATGGTTGTTCTCTCTGCCACTGTGGAGGAGTCAATTGGTAACGGAATTGACTTGCAGCCTGCTGGATTCGGCAGAAATGTGTCTGTTTCAATCAAGGAATCACACACTTCTTGGCTGTCTTACGTGACGCGCCCTGGTGCCCTGAGGAATGCAAACGCTTTCCTTTTGGTCCATGGATGGACAGCAGGCGCGCTCCTCCTAGAATCTGCCGACAAGCTTCTACCTGCTTGCCGATCGGCCAAGACAGTGTCAGAGCTGGCAGCTGAGACTGGTGCAAAGGAAGGGCCTCTGGCTATCCTCTTGCGATGTTGCAGTGCGCTGGGCTACCTTGACTTCAACCCTGTTTCCAGCACCTCGGCATGCACAAGCTTTCTTCTGATCTTGAGTTGCTTGGCTAGAGAAGAGATATGGCTAGAAGGGTGCAGAGACACTTGTCCGCCACGTGACAGCCAGGAACATATTTAGCCGCAGACGGAACAGAGCTCCAAGAGCTGCTGTCATGGCTCGGCCCGGATTCCGAAGCAAGCAAGCATTTGAGGCGAATCTATGCTGAGGCAAAGCCTCCCTTCCCCATGGACTCGGATTCTTTCACACTTTGCTTGGATGCTTGGAGAGATGTCAGACCCGGCTGGAAGGCCTCCAAAAGCAAAATGCTTGGGATTCTTCTTGATGGCATCGTGCTGGCGCCGTTACTCACATCGCTTACTTACAATGCCCGATGGGACGAGAAGGGATTGGACATGGGCCGAGAGAAAGCCTTTGACAGTTTTGATTTTCGTTCACTCAGCAAGGCTTCCCGTGAGGTAGTGGGGGGCATGTTCCAAGAACTGGGAGTCGGAAGTGTTGATCCAGAAGGTGTCGTCTCGCTTGCGGCGAAGGGTGCCCTGGCCCTGCAACCCATCCGCAATCGTGGGCTGGGTGCTTCTGAGTAGAATTCCTAAGATGTTCGGAGCTATGACACCCCCCCTGCATTACTGCACCCTCAGCGCTTTGAAGGTACTCCAAGTTGTAGGTTTTGCTTGAGTCTCCTTTGTAGAGCAGGAGATCATGTGGAAGCTTTGTCTAAGCCAGACCTCGTCCACGATCTAATCTAGGCTTGAGGACGAGCCATGTGCACAGCCGGCACATTCAGGAGACATGAAAGTAAGGCTTCAAGAGGCCTCACAAGCTTGGGCCGGTCGATGAGCTCAGCACAGATAAAGCCAAGGGCTACTTACCATACCACCGGCATGCTCCGATAGAAGCAAAGCACACGGTGTCAAAATGAGTTCTTTTGTTGTACCGAAGTACAATGTGGTTCCTTTGGAACCCTAAGCTTGCTGGAGTATGCCGAATGTCTGTATGCCGCTGCTCCGTTCTTTGCCCGCAACTCACAACCCCTTTTACCTTCGACCTGGGTCCATCGGGGAGCATGTGCCCGCAAGGTTTGATTCGTGTAATTCTTCTGTATTGCTTTTGTAGATTGCGAGCTGACGCCACTGCCATGCGCATGAGGCAACGCGTGTACTCCTACTACGTGCCCACATCCTATTCTCCGTTGCTGTCGAAAGTCCACGAGGTTCTCTTCTCGGATCCTGGCTGGGGCTTTGCAGGCGATTTGGACCCAGATGATGGTGAGATCCATTTAGAAAGAACTCTGAACGTGGTTGGCAGCGGAGCGCAACATACCACTTTATTTAAGGATCTGCTTGGTCACGTGCATAAGGTTTTTGACAATGACAAGTTTGACACACAGCCAAAGTTTGTAATTGACACTGGCTGTGGAGATGGTCATTTGCTGCATACCATCTATGCACATGTAAGAGATCGAACTGCAAGAGGCAAAGTCTTGGAGGACTATCCACTGACCATGATCGGCGTGGACTTCAACGAGAAGGCACGCGTGGCTACTGCCTGCAATTTGGAGGAGCACAAAGTTCCTCACCGTGTGATCGCTGGAGACATTGGCAAGCCTGCTGCCTTGATGACACAGCTGAAGCGTAAGAAGGTGGATCCAAGCAAAGCTTTGCATGTCCGATCTTTTCTCGACCATGATCGACCATACATCGCAGCCAAAGAGCCGCTGAAGGAGGACAGCGCCGCAGCTGCCTTTGCTTTGGCAGAGTTGGCGGACTTTGTACATCTGGACAAAGAAGGTGCTTTAATTCATCCTCTTGAGCTTTTTGCTTCGTTGGTGGAACACATGGCCCGCTGGGCAGATGCCTTGCAAGGATCTCACGGACTCTGCATGCTAGAAGTTATGCAGCTTGACGTGTTAACCACAAAACGGTTTATGAATGACTGCGTTTCTTTCCACTTCGACATCGTTCAGAGTCTCTCCCGGCAGTACATGGTCTCTGCAGTCTCATTTGCGATGAGCTGTGCAATGGCAGGGCTTTTTCCAACAGACTTCAAAGCCGTCCAAGCCTATCCGGAGCAGGGCCGCTATTGTCGAATGCTGAATCAGCACCTCGTCCGAAAGCCGTACATCATTCGCCTGGCAGAGTTGTCTGACCTCTCGCGGCTGCAGACTCTTGAAGAGAAGGCATGGGCACCTGGTCTGAGAGCGAGCTCTGAAGTGTTGAAGACCCGGCTGCAAATGGCACCGACTGGCAATTTCGTTTGTGAGGTTGATGGGGAGATAGTGGCAGTCCTTTACACGCAACGGATTCCATCAGTGAGCGCTGTGGATTCCCAGAAGTTTATGGACATATCAGCTTCGCATGACCCCAAAGGTCGGGTGCTTCAGCTGATTTCCATCAGTGCTGATGCGGATGCCAAAATTGTTGGAGTTGGCTCAGATCTTCGTTCGTTTGCCCTACTTCTGGCTAAGTTGGATCCCACTGTTGACACTGTCATTGGGGTGACTCGCTGCAGTAACTACTCCGGCGATGGCTCCATGGCCGGCTACGTGGCTGGCCACGTGCAGGGGAAGCATGCAGACAAGACCTTGGGCTTTCACACTGGATATGGTGCTCATGTCGCACGTCCTGTGCCAGGTTTTCGACCAGAAGACGAGGACAACGGCGGCGTCGGCGTTCTGATCCAATATGATGTGAAGAGCTGGACATGGACTTCCCACACAGAGATCACCCCAAGCACCAACGGTCTGCAAAAGACGTCGGAGAATGCGGCCACCGCGCTGGATAAGCTCCGTGAGATTTTGACTGACATGAAACACCCTGTGGAGGATGACCAGCTAGGGCTGGGCTTCTTCAATTTGGGTATCGACTCGCTGGAGATGGTCCGGATCCGTAACCAGCCCCTTGACTGCCACTATGTATGTCGTTGTATACGCCGGAACTCCACCAAGTAGATAACACGTTTGCCTGAGACACGGCTGAAAATGCACGTTCCAGAACCTCTTCCTGACTGGTGTCCGCATCTTCATGAACTACTACTGTGGGAATCCTTTTTACGAGCCCCCTTGATTGGTCGTGAGGCCAAAGTATGCTAGCAATCTGTTGAAGTCCTTGGCTGGCGATTCAACATTCTAGCTTGGGAAGAGAAACTCAAAGGGGTGAGCTCAAGCAACTTTTGAGTTTCTGCATGTTGTAGGAGACCTGACCCCCCTTTGGGAGGCTGGTAGCGACACCCTTTGCGGACTGACTCACGCATTGATTTCAACATGCTTGTAGAAGTGGAGTGACAAGAAATCATCAAGGGTGCGTGACATCTCTGCAGCGGGATTCGGGTTGATATTTTGGCCCAGCTTCGGAGTGGAACCTCACCAGGAACATGAAAGGGTTGAATCCTTTCAGTCAGTTGCGACACCCTTTTTGGCCTGACGCTGCTCAAGTGAGCTCAGTGGCAGTATCTGAAGCAGTGCTGGCACTGTTTTGGAAAGGAACAGCAGTCTCCTTTGCCTTAACTGTTGGAGAAGCTTGGGCCGGAAGTGTTAGTCTTTTCCGTTCCTTCTGATTGCAACGCCCCAGCGCATGTCCAAGATCCGTGGGATGGGAGCCAGGCATTGGATTGAATTGTTGCAGGCAAGTAACACCCACGTAGAACCATGTGATGGTCAGCTGTCAAATCCAGCTGGGCCAGAGACTATGTTTGTTGTTGTCACCCCGTTATTGAACGGACGCTAGCGTTATCGGCCATTCTTGCAACCGATTTCTGACATCTTCCCACTGAATCAGTTGCTGTCACAGCGGTGCACTTGCGTGCACTTTTGTTTTGGACGCCCGTGCTGTCTCTGCCCCATTTGAGCCACAATGAGGCAGCAAATTGGATAGCCAGAAACACTGGTCAAACACGTGTGGATGGTGATGTGGGACGAAGGCACTTGCAGCAAACAAGGAAACGCTAAGCGGTCTCGCATCACTGTACCCTCGCCTGAGCTGGTTTGGTCGCTCGCCTTCGAAGATTGAATTTGGAAAGTGATGGTGGGAAGAGCAGGGCAGGCGGGCATCGGGTAAAAAACAGTGGCCCCAAGCTTGCCTAGCTCCGCAGACAAGAAGCCGGCAGTGCAAAATGCAAACCCAGAAACAAAACATGGTGTGCCGTGTGTTCGCGACCTGTGTTTTGTGTGGGAAACATCTGTGCTGGCGCTGTCGCTGTTGTTCTGTGGGGATGTGATTTGTAGCTTAATGCAGAAGCATCAGTGCTTCAACGCTTTGAAAGGTTGTCGACTTGGGCCGGTCGAGAGCTTTCTTCCACCTTCTTGCTGGACTTCCCCAGTGTCCAAGAAGCTGCAGCAGAGCTCGAAAAGCAAAAGGCCAAAGAGGGCAAGCATGCTTCAGCGCTGGAGGTCATTTGCCAGGCGCAGATAAGATGTTGTTGGACAAGGGCTTTGGGCAATGCAACGTAGAGGATTTATATGATTGCAGGCGAGGAAGATGGGCCGGTTTGGTTTAGGCGTTTTGCTAGCAGCTGACCCGTGTTGATCTGTCTGCAGGTCATGGCTGACATGCAGCACCCTCTCTCTGATGACCAGCTCACGCAAGGCTTCTTTGTGCTAGGGATTGACTCCCTTGAGATGATTCGAATCAAGAACAAGCTACCTGGCAACTTGTAGTCGGGAAGATCCTTTCAGATGTCGAGAAAGCTTCAAGTGGAATCTCAGGCTCAGCCAATGGTTGGGGGAGGAACTTCCTGCAACGTTCCTGCTGGACTATCCCAGCGTGCGGGAACTAGCCACGGAAGTGGACAAGCTAGTCGCCAAGAAGCAAACTGGAAATGGAGATGCTGAAGCGCATGCAGAGCCGGCCATTTTAGATGTGGACTTGCTCCTCCAGGCCCGGGAATGAGAGCAAGAGCTGAGAGCATTTGTACCCAGTCAAGTGCCATTGGCAGGCGCAGGAAAAGCTGAAAAAGGCTTATTCGCTATCCCAGAACCAGAAGAAAATCTCTGCCCTCGCGGCCAAGCATTCCGATGACAAGGCTGCATTTACCAAGGCTTTGGAGCCCCTGCTTGCAGAAGTTGAGGCCAGGGATGTTTTATCTAAAGCACACGTCTGAATTAGCAGCTGAAGCAATGCATTCCAGAGGCACTAGTAAGGATGTGTCTGTGCGCTGTAGTCAATATGACTGCCAGTGGAAAGTGCTTCACGCTTGCTGCGCCTCGAGGGATGAGCTCCACCCCAGACCTGCCAATCAATTTGGAACATCCCTCAACAAATGCAGCTTGCAGCTTGCCTGGCATGCCGAACCATTGAAACCAGCCCGCCAACCTCCAAACCAAAGGTGAGGGACGTAAATTCGCAGGGCCTGCAAACCAACCAAACCGCAGTCTGTACGACACCCCATCCCACATGGTTTTGGTGACATTCTACACATTGGGAAACGTCGAATCTGCCAGATTGAAGCTTCAGTACAAGAAATCGAAGGAAGATGCAACCCCTACTGCCAATACTGATGCTCCCCAACTGCTACTAGCCTGCGCTTGGCATGCGCATTTATGCAACTCCCTACTGCTAACAATGATGCTCCCCAGCCGCTACTAGCATGCAAACCTGTGCAAATTGGACTCTGTCTGCACCCTCTCCCGGAGAAACGGAGGGCCAATGATCTGATGATGCCGAAGCTGTTCCATTCAAACCATGCAACGTGCTTCCGCTGTGCCGGGGGTTCGGGTAATTCTGCTCAAAGCGCTGTGATGGGGGGAGCTAGGCCCTAGACCTGCAAACCTTCCCAGCATAAGGGCAGCTGCAAACTCACGCGCAAAACTGTTCCAATTCGGAAGGCTGTTGGGGAGGACGAAGAGTATTAGTGTTGTGGGGGCTGGCCCAGGCCCCTTAACGCGGAAATTCGGCCCCTGACCACTGCATCCATTGAATTTCCATTGCATGCGGGTTTCCGACTGCAGGTTGGTGAGTAAGAACGCGACTTTGAATCGTTGCAAGCACGTTAGCTTTCATGCTTGGTCTGCTTGCCAGTGACATTGGCATCCAGTCGAGCCAGACTTTTTCAATCTCCACAACACCGGAATTGTTGTTGCAAAGATGCTGCTTGTCCGTGGACCCGTTTAGATCACCAAACAACCCCTCCAGACACACCAAAACAGGCAAACTTTCAGTTTCGGAGCATCCTCCGCTGACTTGATCCAACACTTGGCCCAAGAACCAAGCCGCATTTGGCCACACACACGACCCCCAATGACGATGCTGCACTGACAATGCGTCAATAACTCGTTCGGAAACAGTCGACCAAGCGCGGACTACCTAGCAGGACCTAGCAAGTTGGGGGCCCAAGGGCATTATGCCCTGCTGCAATAAACTGCTTTTGGGTTGCCTTGACATGCAGCAGACTTACAATTGGACAAGATTCCGGGCATGTTGGCCCGGGCTCAGTAGACACAGTTTGAGTTGCCGCCTTGATAATGTGAGAAGCACGTCAGCTGATTCAACAATTTGTTTGCCAGCTGGTTGCTTGGAAGAGCAAACAAGGAGCTTGGGCATCGAAGGCAGTGTTCTTTGCTGAAGATGCCTTCAGGGTTGTGTCGGGTGGGGGTCGATGTGGTGTGTTTCTGTGTGTCACTGATGTCGGCACAGTAAAGCACTGATTGTCAAGTACGGGGTTGGCTTGCTGAATCTTGCTGAGCTTTGACGGCATTTCGAGGTAGCTCTAACTGATGATGGACCTTTTCAATGGTGATCACTGCCCAGATGCAGATGCTCCATCCAAGTGTGATACATGATCTTCAATAGTAGCGTTTCTTAGATATGGGTCGGCAAGTGGGAGAAGCTCACAGAACCTCAGGCAGAAGCCCTTGCATGTTGCCATCCACCTTCATGCTGGGTTGTACGATTTACGATGCAGTACGAGCTAAGCCCCAACCGCACATCTTTGACAGGGCTCCGTTCTCGTCAGCCTCGGCATCATTGACGACCTGCAGCCAGTCAATCTCCAGAAGGGCCGCAAGCTTCTCACGCTGAGCATCAAGAGGCTGCGCAGGAAGGAGGAGGTGGCCAAAAATGACCAGGAGAAGACAAAGTCTCAAGGTCTTTGCGTTTGCATGCGAACATGACTGGGATGTTCATCAGCCCTACTCGTAGCTATATCTGTACCATGTTTACTGGCAGTAGTAGCTTGCATCCCGCTCCCCTGACAGGAGGTACTGGGGCTTGTGAAGCTGGGAGACTGATGGCTGAAGCAGCTCCCACCAGAGACCGCAATGCTTGTGATCTTTGTGAACTGCGCTGCCGGCAACCGGAAGCAAACCATATCTATGTAGTTTACGGTTGCATGTAAAGTAGCAGCATCAAGACTAGATGCTCGAGAGTCCCCTCCGTGCCGCATGGCATTTAGCCACCACATGCAGTTCCAGGTCATGATGGGAACTGGCCTTCGCGGGCCTCTCCCGACGTCTTAATTAGATGCTTTTCTGCCCGGCGATGTAATCGCCGAAGGCCCCGAATCAGAGTCTTACCTGCGCCACCGGCGCAAGAAAAGAGGGAAGCCGTCGACTTGCAGTTGTGCCTGCCTTTGCCGTCGTTCGTCGTGCCCCTCTTTTTCTTTTATCTTTTTCTTTAGACGGGGTGGTTGGCTCGAGGCGCCACCGGCGGCGCATTCTTAACGCCACGCACTCGGCTCGATGGACTTTGGCCGGCTCGTCCGAGCCTTCGTCGAGTTGGGGGCATCCGACCACCTGCCCCTGCTGCCGACCGTGGGCGTCGTAGACGTCGAGTCCGCCCTTGCACGGGCCTCGGCACTTGTGGCGGGTGGCGTCAGGGCCTCGGTTCTGGAAGCCCTGGCTTCCTGGCGGTCCCGACATGAGGGGGGACTGCCATCGGCCCCGGAGGGCCCGCCCGAGCGCCGACGGTCAGTAGATCCGGCCTCGGCGACGCAAATCGTACCGGCCAACCCCCCAAAAGATCATCGGCGACGGCTCTTGTACCGGCTGGCGGTCAGGCACCGACCCCGGCGACGGTCCGTGACTTGGTTCCCCCCCCGCGACGGTTACCGTCCGGAAGGTGGCTGCCTCTTTCCGTCGAGGAGGCTACCGTTCAGTACAGAACTATTTCGACGCCGCCGTGACCTACCAGGAACAGTTCCGCGGTCAGGCCGTCGATCCCCTCATCCGGCGAGCCATGCGGCGGTAAGCTAGAGCCGTCGCGAGAGGCCTGCCGGGATCGAAGCTGAAGGCTATCTTCCCCGTCGACCGCCTGGTCGCCTTGGTGGCACGGGTTGACCCGCCGGGGGCCGACGCTTGGAGCCCATGGGTCACAGCCCGCGCCGTCGACGCCCTCATTCTGGCGGTGTGGTTCATGCTCCACGAGATCGAGTTCTCGGCGGCCCGGACGCAGGACATCGATGTGGCCGGCGGCACCGTCGCCCTCCGGCTTCCCCTGCATAAGACAGCCACCGGCGGCGAGGTCGAGTTGACCCAGCGCCAGCTTCAGTGCGCATGCGGGGCGGCAGTGGCGCCGTTGTGCCCGTACCACGCGGCGCTCCGTCATGTTACTCATGTTACCCGCCTCCGGCGGGCGGGCCGCTGGGAGCGCGGAGCACCCCTGTTCCCCGACGGGACCGGCGAAACCTGGGAGAAATCCGGTGCCATCTTATTCTTTCGTGGGGTCCTCCTCGCGGCCGGGATACAGCTGACGTCCACCGACCACACCGGCGCCACCGTCCAGCTCTTCAACGGTCACCTTGCCCCGGTGCGGCGTGGCTGGCCTCGAAGGGCGTCAACACGCCCATAATCCAGCTGCTGGGGCGGTGGTCCTCCGCAGCCGTCGAGCGCTACGTCCAGGCTGCTCCTCTGGCGGTCGCCCCCGACGTTCCCCGTCGCATTGGGGGACGAGGTCGAGATCATCCGTCCGGCCCGACGGACCCGGCGTCCTCCGCCGCCCGGCCGCCCCTGGCACTCAAGGACGACGAGCCGGAGCGGCGACAGGCACAGCGGGCCGAGGACCATTCCCCGACGGTTGCCTTCGAGCCGGGCCCGCCATTTTGGCTCAAGCCGCTTTCTGCTCCACGTCCCCCGACGATTTTCAGCTTTCCGGTACATCCTCTCGTCGCCATGACGTACCAGTCTGCCGACGTTGCGAGAGGACCTCCGGCGAGCTCCGGAGTGGAGTGGGAGTGGCTACACCGTCGCCGGCGCCCCCTGTCGACCGTCAGCAAGCGGCTCCCTCGCGGCCGCCTCCACAATTTGCCGAATCCGGCGGGAGGTTCTGCAGGAGGAGCACCCACCAGTGGCTGGAGCGTCGGTCGGCGTCCGTCCAAACGACCTAAATGACGCCGGGCAAGGCCAGACCGACGCAGATCCCCGTCGTCATGCGCTTGCTCCGGCTCGTCGCTCCGGCTCGTCGATTACCCCGACGTGCCCGGCATGCAGGAAGACCTAACCGAAGCGTTCGACATGCTCGGCGAGCTCCGTCGGGGCCCAGGGCGGAGGGCCAGGACCGACGAGAAGTACTCCAGCCCGGTGCCGGTAAACAAGTTTGCGGCGGCGAACTGGGATTTTGTCAAACGGCGGGCGGGCCACCACGGCAGCCGCCGGCGAACACACCGACACGCTCCTGGACGAGCTCGTCGAGGAAGCCCGTCTTGGCCGCGTCGTCGGTCCCACCCGGGCACCAGATGGGTGGAACCTCGAGACGACGGCCGGGGGCCGACCTGGTGCCGCCACCGCCGGGCCAGGCCTTTGCGGCAGCCTCCAAGACGAAGAGGGGGTGTGAAGGTCCGTCGGGCCGAGGATTGGCGTCGTCGGGACACAACTCCACCGTCAAGGCCCACGACGTCCCGACGCACGACTTCGTGGACATGATCAGGCGGGTGGTCGACCAATCCGGTTGCCCGGCGACGGCGGCGAGGATCTTCGGGCATGACCTCCTCAACGCCTACCGGCAATGGCCGGTGAAACACCCGGCGCACTCGGGCACCTTCCTGCCGGGCCCAGCCGGCGTGTCCCTATGCTTTCACATGGCCATGTGTTTCGGCGCCGCCGCGTCGGTGTGGCACTTTAACAGGACCGCCGACGCCCTCCAGGCCATCCAGCGGGTGATCCTCTGGATTCCCGCCGGCCATTTCGTCGACGACTTTAACGGCATCGACATGGACGAGTCGGCGACGTCGGCGTTCGAGGCCATGGCGGACTTCTTCGAGCTTTCGTCGGGTTGCAGACCAACCAAACCGTCCAAGGCTCAGGCCCCGGCGGTCCAGCAGAGGGTGCAGGGGGTCCTCATCTCCGTCGAGCCCGACGCGGTGGTGCTACAGCCGACGGAGAGGCGCGTCAAGAAGGTCCTGGCGACGATCGACGCGGCCCTGGCCAACGACGAGCTGGCGCCAGACGTCGCAAACCGCCTGGCCGGCAGGCTCAACTTCATCACCCAGTCGACTCTCGGCGCACTGGGGAAAGCGGCCCTCCAGCCCGTCTACTCGAGGGCGCACGACGCGGCCGCCACGTCGGCGACGACATTGTCGGCGGGGCTTAGGGCGGCCCCCACCTCGCTCAGGGCCCTGCTGGCGGACATCCGGCCAAGGAGGGTGCCCATCATTGATGACGGCGCCCCGGCGGCGATCATCTACGCCGACGCCTTCTACCAGCCCGGCGAGGTGAAGCACAAGGCGGGACATATACCGGCAGAGGTCGGCATCCGGCCGGGGACCCGCGGCCGGAACGGCTGGGGCTTCGTCGTCCGCATCGGCACCCACGTGTTCTATGATTGCGGCGTCGTGCCGGCGAAGTTCTTGGACCTCTTTGCCTCCCGTCGGGCCTTTATTTATGTCCTCGAGATCGTCGCCCAAGTCCTGGCGCTCGTCACCCTTTCCCGTCGTTTGCCCCAGACGTGGCTGGCCTTTATCGACAACGTCGCCGGCCAGTGGGCACTCACCAAGGGGTATGGGAAAGACGCCGCCGTCAACGGCGTGTTGGCTGCCTTCTGGTCGACAGCGGCCCTGTCGGAATGGCTTGCCGACTTCCGTCGGGTACCCTCGAAGGCCAACGTGTCTGACGCTGTTTCACGGGGCGACCTTCACACGGCGGAAAGCTCCGGCTGGCAGCGGGTCCACACGCCCGTCGAGTCCATCCTCAAGGTGCTCTCCAAGGCCGTCGCCGACCTAGACTTCGCGGTGAATGACGCCGCCGACGAGCTTCTGAACCTGGCTGTGTGAGCGGGCTAAGCCGGCGCAGAGTGGGTGAGGGGAGCGCCGGGCGGCAGCTAAAAGCGTCCCCCGGCGCCGGCTTGCATTGTACTGGCAAATGCGACGGACCCGCCGTGAATGCGCTTCAAACCATCCAAAAAGAAAGGGTTCGTCCGTCGTAGCTCTTTTGGGTTCCGTCGGGGAAAACGGTTGTCGTGTAGCACATTCATGTGCGTAGGGACAACCGTCGAATCGACGTGGATGCTGCAGCCGCTTTCTGCTCCACGTCCCCCGACGATTTTCAGCTCCCACCCTCTCCGCCCTTGTGGGGTATTTTCTGTCGAGACCTTCGGGTCGTCGCTCGCTGGCGGGCAGCCGCCGGCTTGCCTTGTACTGGCGAATGCGACGGACCCGGCGCGAATGCGCTTCAAACCATCCAAAAAGAAAGGGTTCGTCCGTCGTAGCTCTTTTGGGTTCCGTCGGGGAAAACGGTTGTCCGTGAATGCTTGTGATCTTTGTGAACTGCGCTGCCGGCAACCGGAAGCAAACCATATCTATGTAGTTTACGGTTGCATGTAAAGTAGCAGCATCAAGACTAGATGCTCGAGAGTCCCCTCCGTGCCGCATGGCATTTAGCCACCACATGCAGTTCCAGGTCATGATGGGAACTGGCAGACAAAGCCGAGACGCATGGCACGGGAGTAAGCATGAGAACATCCAGTGGCACAGAAGGGAAACCAAAGAGGAAAGGCTGAAGGTGACGTATGCAGCTACGGCCGAAATGACAGCCCCATCGCATGTCTCACCGGCCACAGGCAACAGTGAAGTAAACGAACAGGACATGTTGAATGCAATGTGAAACCAGCACCTCAGCAGCTTGGGATCATGGCGGAGCCAGGCCTACGTGTGCGTGTTGGGTGCGTGCGTGTCTGCACGGAGTGAGTCATCAGTTTGTCATGGACAAAGAGAGCTCTGAGTGTCACTCCCTGGTTTGGCCACGAGCACGTTGACCCGTGCCTGCGAGATGATGCGAACACTGCGGAGAAGATTCCGCGGGAGCGCGAGGTCAGGCAAAGCTGTTGGCATATGGAGACCTGAGAAAAATCGTCCAATGAGGCCTGGCGACGGCTTGTGGCTCGGGTGGCACAACTGCACCGGCCTAGATCCATGAGTATACTCTGATGTGGGGGCACGCACCTCAGTTGTGCTGAGGCGCGGATACCCGAAAGCTCTTGCTTTGCTTCAGGCAGGGAGATCCTCGCCGCCCAAGCCCAACCTAAATTCGACACCTGTCAGGAGAAGCATGCCGAGTTGCCAGTGCCCGAGAATACGCAACCCTTCAGGGGAGCAGACTGCGATAGGGAGAGAGAAGTGCTTCCCCTTGCGAAAGAGAGAGCTGGAAGCACTGGGTCTGCCGCAATGGAGGGGCTCGGCGAGATAGGCAGAGGCAGACAACAGGCCATGTTGACCTGGCCGGAGCCACAAACTTGCACGGCGCTACAGTTCTCACCCAATGGCGCTGCCGGCGCTCCTGCGGTGTTCTGGGCAGATAGGCTCCGGTCCAAGCTGGGCAGAGGTGAGGGGGAACCTGCCGCAGACTCGGAAATTCAGAGCCGAGCTGCCAGCTGCCCTGCCAGCAGATGCCACGTCCCTCTTAGGTCCTTCTACACTGCCATGAACCTCGCCTCAAGACGCTCTGAGTGAGTAATTTCGCGAAGCTCCATTCGGGACTTCGGGAAGACTAAGATGCCTTGACACTTGGAAAGGAGACATCACAGTGGACACGCAGTCCCCGCGATACTGGGAGCTTCTAGATGTATGGAGGCACGACTGCATGAGCAGACATGGGTTTCAGTGCTTTTTCGGTTTGGCTGCAGGAAGATTGACGGTAACCCTGTCCTGTCGCAGCAAGCATCGCGCCTCGTGGCATTTTCAGGGGCATGCCCTTGAGAGCCGGTAATGGGGGCGCGGGCTGATCCGAGGAATCAGTGCCCTGTTGGCTATCTGACCTTGAAACTCCTGGGCTTCGTCTCCCTACGAGCCCTTCGTCAGACTTCCTTGGAGAGCCCCGAGCCCGAACCGCGATGGTCCCTGAAGCACCAAGGCCGAGGTGATACTGGCGGAGCTTCTCAAGCTTGAAGGCAGCAACGCACTTGAGAGCACAGATAGATCTAGACGTAGATACACAGAGGACGGCCTGCGCACGAGTAGAACACGGTGTAAAGATAGAGGTGCCGCGACAGGCACCGAAACCCCAATCCCGCAACGCTCGCACCCGAACCGGCACCTTCAACCCGGAACCCGGAACACCCGCAACCCGGAAATTCGGAACACCCGAATAGCGCGGACTCGGATGCGGAACGCCCGAACGAGGGCCCGGGCCCCCCTCAGTGCGAGAAAACGATGAGATCAACGTTCTGTGATTTCTTTGTTTGGATGGTTCGGAAAACTACGCGAGACAGCTCTGCAAGGAAAGGTTAACGAAAGATAACACGCTTGAGCAGTAGTTACACAGATCCAGAGCCTACACAAAAGCGCTCAAATCTGCATCATATCCCCTGGTACACTTGGGAACAGCGTTCGCTCTTGCGCTGTTGGTCAGGGGTGATGATCCATCCAATATTGCGATGTCTGGCCTCCACCTTGGACTGGCACAAAGTGGCCGACCTGGGATGGCCCCTCTTCCGGCTGCTGGCCCGAGTCGAGCTCCGAGCCTGAATTCTGAAACACAGGGGTAAACACCATTAAAAACTCTTTAAAAGGGGACTGCTCTCCTCTCGGGCTTCTTCGTTCCTTTTCCTTTGCCGGCTCATGGCTCATCTCCGAAGTCAGGAGTCCTGCTCACAACGAGCTTGGGATGACCAACCCCTTGAACACCTGGTCCGAAGCAAACTGGTTGAGCGATGCTTGCGCAGAATGGGCAGTCCGGCGATGTCTTGCCTCGCTGTTGCTGAGCCACTCACGGCCTGCATGCTTTTGGAAGGAAATGCCATACCTGGAGCTGGTGCAAAGACACCTTGATGAAGGCATCGCAGTCCCAGCAGCTGCAACTTCGCCTGGCATACGAACTACCAAAGCATGTTTATGTCGGACAGCTGCCGGAAAGTTTTTCAGCTCAGGCAAGCGGCTTGCTGCTGTCCTACCCAGATCGGATTTCTCCCTACAGCCGTGCTACCGCGCTGCTGGCACTGGCCGAGGCAGGCGACTTCGCTCTCTGTGGCAAGACAAAACTTAGATTCGGCTTAGATTGCTGTGGGCTGCAAATGGCTGCAACAGGTGCTTCGGCCTCCACGCGTAGCCCCTGACCTCGTCGGAGAAGCTGCGCCGCTGCCTGCACTGTGGAGCATGCCCAATGTGCTGTTGGCCCAGAGTGTAAGGAGCGGTTGATTCGGCGGGCAGTGTATATTTTGTCTGATGCTTGGTGGCACATTCTGCATGCATCGCGTGCATCACATCTCAGTCTGCATGTTGGGCAAATCCAGGAAGACTTTTTGGCGCCGAAATACCCGCCATTGGTGCCCCTGACCTCCCACTGGCCGCTCGGCTCGTAGCATCTTCTAGAGAGCGGAGGCCTGGTGACCCTGGGACCGCTTCAGGCCCGTCTTCCAACTCGCGGACCGATTGGCTTGCAAGGCGACGTGTTGGCCCGAGCCCTGCCTCTGGAGCATTCATGCCTGTCTCGAGGGCGAAGTTCGCTGGAATCTGCCGGCACAAGCAGCCCGCAGCAGACCGCGTGTCGCAGTGCTGCCGATGCCAGAAAAGGACTGATCCTCGGTTGTTTGCTGTCGTCGCTCGCATCCAGTCTGGCGGGCAGGTCTCTGATGTTGTCCGCTCCTGCAGCCTGCCCTACTGTGACCTTAACTTCTTCGAGCTGGTATTAAGGGCTGTGGCCGCATCAGACGCAGGGCAGCAGGAGTCAGCAGATTTCTCGTTCATTTCTTGCATCACACGGTGTTGAGCTCTCAACAGCTCTCGGATGGTCAGGCAAGGAAGAGGCTGCATCTCGTCGAGGTCGGTGCAAACCTTGGTGACTGCACCTTCTGGGCGGCAGCGCACCTGGGCAGGCCTTGCTAGTTGTGAGCTCGTTCTCAAGTCTCTGGCGCTGCGCTGCTCTCCCTGAGGCGCTTCACCTCTGCCACAGCAGTCGAGCCTGTGCCGAGTGCAGCAGCGGCCGTCCGACGAAGTGTCACGATAAACGGCTGGGATTTCATCCAGGCCTCTTCTGCATGATCCTCATGTCATGTATCTTCTCCGATGTGCATCGGGACTGATGCTCTTGGGTTTGGAGAGGTTGTGCAAGCAGTCGCCGGTGCCAAAGCCGGAGAGGGCTCAATGCACTTCCTTGCACACAGTGCTGGAAATCCCTATGCGAGCGCTTCTGCCTGGTGCTGAGTTCTTCTTTGCTGATGCGCATACGGCATACTCGGGCTGCAGCTGCAGGCGGTGCCGCTGCGAGACGTCGAGACACCCTCCGTGCCTGTGCGAATGACAACTGTGGCACACCTGTTGTCCTCGCAGCCGCGACCTGGAACGGCGCGGCTGCTCAAGCTGTACGCCTACGCTGATCTCCTGGACACTCTGAATTGGAAACGATGTGTTTAGAGGAGTCTCTAGTATATGTCTAGCATATCACTTTAGTTTACGTTCTGTGCTGTTGTGCTCGCAAACCAATTCTTGTCACTTTTCCCGGCTTTCATTGCGAAAGGATCTCGCTCGTTTCTCTCGTGCTCAGCGCACCTGCATGTTAGTACGTTTCCGAGCCAACCTCGCATTTGTACATGACAGCAGGCTTGAAGCTGACTTGGCAAGCCTTTTTCGGCATGGCAGCTCCTGGCAGGATGTGCTGAAGGGAGCAAAGTCGGCGGCAAGAAAGGTGGATGCTGTGTGGCTGGCATTTGCGGCTGGGCTCTTGCCCCGACCCCGGTCAGCAGCGGCCCAGATCTCAGCTTCGGCTTCCGAACCACGGAGCCACGCTGCAGTCGTCGTCGCGTTTCTTCACAAGGTGGCCATGTTTGCATTTTTCTACCATCAGGCAAGGAATCATACAACGCGGTCGTGAGTGTGTGACGGAGTTTTTAGTGAGTGTGAGCGCCACCGCAGCGCAGGGCTTTCGAGTGGCATTGCCAAGCTTTGAGGCAGGCTGGTCTTTCCCAGTCTTGGCCCTGCGAGAGAGCAATGCAGGTCGACTGGTGCAGAAGTTGGCGGCCGCGATGGGTAGCGGAACAAAAGCGAGCCAGCACAATTGTGTGTCAATTCTCGCGATTGCCACGAAGCTTCGCTGCACTTGTGAGGATGAGGCAATGGCTTGCCGCAACGCAGACCAGCAGACTCTTGGGCCGATTTGCGCGCTCTGTGCGAAAGAACCTTGCAGAGCGTTCGTAGATCCAGTCAGGAAGTGCACATTCCATGGTCTATGTGGTGGCGTTCCGGCCGCGGGTGCTTCACTGCAAGCCTTGGCAAAGCTTCAAGCAGCATGCACCCGCCTCGTGCACTGGTGCCTGTGCTGGAAGTCGGGAAGGATCTTTTGCTCGGATTGTCGTGAGGCAGATGAAACCCGTGTTTGGGATCGTGCCGGCATCGCGAATGGCTGCTTTTTCGGTCAGTTACCCAGAACCAGCACGCTCAATGGAACCTTCAAACCTGATCTGCTGTCCGGCAAACAGAGCTGCTGCAGGACGCTCTCGGCGGCAGCTGCTTATGGTGGCTTCCCCAACGCTGCGCGTTTGCAGTAGTGATACGGCATGGGGAATTCGGTTCAGGCAAAGCGGCACGGTGCCACCTATGCGTCACTTGGCTCTATCTCCTTCTCTTTCTCGTGGCTTTTGTCTCAAAGCACTGCCGAGGTCCTACTTCCTCGGCGACGAAGAACTGGAGCTGGAACAGCAGATCAGGGAGGAAAAAGTAGTAACAAGGTTTTCCTCTTCGCACTGTTGCCCTGGTTAAGGTGTAACGTGGCGGCGACAGCTTGCAGCATGCATAAGGGCCTTCAAGCGACCATGCTCCCGGCCACCCCCAGGCTTGACTTCTTCCACGACTCTGATGGCTGCCTGCCCAGCGTGCTGATTCTCTTTCCCGGTTTCGAGGCTAGCTCGGCATGTGCTGCTCCAGCTTGTCCAGGTGACATCCACCCGCCGCAGCTGCCGTTCGAAGACGATGACCGTGCCCAGCGCTGGCGCGCGCCTTGCACGGGCTTGCGACAACCTGTCAGGCACAGCATAAATTTCAATAATTACAGATAGGGTTAATGTCTGGCAAGCCTAAATACAGGCCACGTCAGGTCACATTTGCACTTTGAGTAGTGTTTCCTGGCGTGCACTTGCCTGCGACGTCTTTGCACTGCCAGCAGATAAAGCGTGACCCCGCGCTGTGAACGAGGTTTCATCGAAAGTTGAAGAGCAAAGGCCGTCCTTCGGGGTTCGACTAAGAGCTTCAGCAATGGATCTGAGATCGATGGATGCCAGATGGAAGCAAGATTCGAGCGAAGCTTTGCAACAAGCTCGTGGCGCACCCGGAGTCTTTTTCATGCTGTGCATTTCTCTGTTGCGTTGTTTTGCTTTTTGCAATCTTTTTGGACAATTGTTCTCGACTAGCTAGTGACTAAGTGACTAGCACAGTGATCTGCACATCAAGGCGCTGCAGCTGCAGGGCATGGGCCACGAGCTCATAGGCACCCTGCTCGTCTGGTTCCCGCATCCAACCTAAAGAGATTCCTGTCTTGGGAGGGCGGGACGCCATCGAGCGCGTTTCTGAAGCTCTAACGTGCTTGCCCGAGCCGTTGGATGTTGGATGCAGAGCTCTAACTTCTTTGGCCGCTGCTGTAGGTAGTGGAAGAGTGCAAGGTTCGTCTTTGAAGTAACAACGAGCTGTCATGCCCAGGCAGGGCACTGCAGAGGAGGGCCCTCTCGTCTGTAGCATGCTGGCGAAGGACACCATTTCACTCTGCCACATTTGCAGGTGTCCGTGAGAAACACTCTGCAGGAGCTAGAAGGAACTCGCTTTGATCACCATTGGGTTTCCCAGGACGGAAAAGGCAGCACTCTCACACCTGCGCAGGCTTTCAGACTTGATGCTTGAATCTCAGTTTCTAGACGAGGTCGCTACCGCCTGGGTGAGGCAAGGTGCTCTTGTGGCTTCTTGTCGAGTGCTAAAGTTGCCCAAGCACAAGCAGAAAGTTCGCTTCAGGACGGCATGAAAGTGGCCGTACAGGCATGACCGCTCAGAATCATGCGGAGTCGTCACGACAATTAGAAAGGCCTCGATTGTCAGGTGCTGGACGGTAAGCTTCTGATTCATGGCTACTTCGAAGGCCCAGAATGGCACGCAGCCTGTTGTAACTCGGCCTAAAGTATGCACTTGCAGGTTCCTTGGTCCATCCTGTCCGCATTCCAATCCTTGCTTTTCTGACGGAGCATGGCCGGCTTCCCGGGTTTCTTCCCGGCTCCCCTAGCCCTAGCTCTTTCGGCACTTTCGGACCTCGAGCCTGATCAGCTGTGAGGTAAAACCTCAGAGAAACAGCCCGAAGATGATTGTGATCTCTTCGGCGTTTCCGGCTTGTCTTGTGGACCGCTGTGAGTATTTTCGCGACCTGAGCCACGGTGCTGAACCGAGCCATCGGCAGGTCAAGCTGCGCCCGCAACAGGTGAGAAGGATCGCTTGGGAGCATCCTAGAATCCTACAACTTGCCGACAACTACTGTAGCATTCAGAAGGGTTTGACCGTTATCTGCTTAGCTTACGAGGAGGGAGGGCAGATACGGCTGCGCTCCCGCTCACGCAGCCCACGGCCAAGCAAGGCTCCGTCGACTTTGGTTTCTCTTGCTTTCCCTGTCAGGATCGAAACGGGGAAATGCGCTTGTGAGATTCTTTGCTGGAGAGACTGCGGTAACCCACAGATGATTTATTCCGTATGGTTTCAGTGTGCTTTGGAAATTGTGGTATTCGAAATACTGCCTTTGCCATCAACATTCTGCCGACCTCAAGTAGTAATGGGTTCCGGGACGGAGGCCGGGCAAAAATCTTGGAATTCTGGATACCTTAGGATAAATTCATGCTTTGGAGTATCTTGACATTTTTAATTTAAAGCTGTCTTATTCGGTCGTCTCCATCGGAAATGAGCGGGGGTAAAAAACCCCAAAAGCCGGAACATCTTGTAACCTGTCCTCCAAACCCGAGACAGTGCAAGCCCGAGCATCTTGCATTCTGAAGAGGCGCCTGAGCCCAACACCCTACGCCTTCAGAAGAACAACTGCGCCAAAAAGTAGGCGCCTGTCAACGCCTTGACTGAAACCGCACAGCAAAAAAACATCCACAGGCGAGACAGTGCCGGATTTCACATGCCACTTCAACCATCTTGTGCCCTGAGACAAAAATAGCGTTAAGCGCGCGTTTCATTACGAAACGAGGTACAGCTCCAGCTTCGTTTTTCCGTCATGTTCCACCATTCCCGATGCAAGGGCCGGGGAAGGTCGCCTGGACCAATCCTCGGCCCTCTCCCGTGCAGTGTCCCAAGATTGGTGGCAGATCGATGCCAAAATGAGGCTGGATTCCAAGATGAATTAAACGATGACAAAAACCGACACACAAATTATGGCCAACACTACGATGAAACGGAAAGTACGTAGGCTGTGGATGCCTCATACCGCTCGGCGAAAAAGCAGGTCGTCGGATCGGAAAAGTCGGACAGTCCCCTCTCGCTGGTCAGTCATGGCCTCCAGAGCCGATCTTCTTGCCCTGCGTGCTCTTCCACCCCATCACATCAAGAAGGGGACAGTGAGAAGAGTCAGGTGTCCCAATTCTTACCGCAGGAAGAAGATCGGTAGATGAATGCTGTGGAGCTCTGTCAGCAGAGTTTTCTTCTTGGCCTGGAGAGGTGCAGGAAACCCCAGCGCAGGGTGGGCCATTGCCATTGCCACCGGGATGGGTGTCAGACCAAGCTGCCGAATGTGACAACGAGTCTCGTTTTCTTCAGTGCCGTGTCAGGTCAAGAAGGAGTCGCGCTCGAAGCCCGGCGTTTTCTACTACGCCAACGAGGTGGGGCTTCCTTGCTGAAGGGGCTATCGGCAATCGCCTGCTTCCTTCTGTGTTGCATGTGGTCCAGGCGAAGGGGCTAACGCAGTTCGAGCGGCCGACCTCGTAAGATCTCGTAGACGCTGGAGCAAAAGATTGCACCTGCGGCCTTGGCTGCACACGCACACACATGCCAATTCCAGCACCAGCCCCTTTGAAAGCTCGTTGCGTCGTCGCTTGCTCACTGTAGACCTCGCAGCTCGGAAGCAGGTCGCAGCGGATCAATGCATCCCAGCGTGAGATATGTATGCGAGTAGCCAGCACTGAGACTCAGAGACCCGGACTTCAATCAGCTTACTGGTCAATTCCCCTCCGTTGCCCGGGCCCCTGCTTCAGCGCATGGAAGAACCTGTGCTCCCTTGCCTGAAGCCTGGCCTTCGAGGCGCGTGGTAGAGGGACCTGTAGCATCCTGTAGCCAGAGTGGCTGCCAGGCCGAATGGGGCCGAATGGTGGCAGAACTGGAGGGCGCCACAGACCTGGTGGATCTCACCGGACGGGTTAAGGAGGTGAGACGATGCGTGACGACCGGTGAAGTCGCATGAGATCGCGCCATCTGACAGGTGTTTGGGCGCTACCGGGCAGATGATAGACGTAGCTTTCTGACGAGGTCTGAACACTCACCCTGAGTGTGTCACTTTTGGATTCGTTGGGTTGTGAACTCAGACTGTGGGATTTGAATTTGGACGGCTGGAAGGCCAGAGATGCAGAGAATGCTCAACGACCTGATTCCAAATACAGGCCCTGTGGCGGCACACAGCAACCCGTCGGACGTCGGACGGTTCATCGATCTGGGGGTTTGTCGGCCCGGCGCGACAGGCTACAAGCTCTTGGACAAGCTGCTCAAGGAGATCGATGGCGACGGCGCAGACGGCAAGTTCACCACCCCTGAGTTCGTGGATTGGTTTCCCAGCTCAGAAAATTGTCAATAACTCAGCGCTATGCCTTTATCACACGCTGGGATCTTGAGGCTGGTTGGAAAGGCGGGGCTTTCAAGGCAAGCCCAGCGGGTTGTACTCCGAGCGATCGTCGAAGCCACCGGCGACTCCTTGGGAGCGAGGGTTATGGAGACTCTGAGCGGCCTTCAGAGACGTCTGGAGTATGTCCGGAGACCCTGAACTTCCTGAACCAATGAAGCACTGAGGATGTTCGACCGGTATGACCTGGACGGCAGTTGCTTCTTAGAGAGGCACGAGCTGATGAAGGTGCTGCGGGTCCTGGATTCTGAGATCACTACCGCAGAGATCCAGCGCCCAAGCTGCACTTAGCCAGCGTGCAGGCTGTCAAGCTTCGGAAGTTTGGTCGGTGTGCATTGCAAGCGCTCTGAACTTGCAAGATTCCTGGCAGGAGAGTCTTGGAAGAGCTTGACACCAGTGGCGACGGAAGGGTCCGGAGTCCAAAAATGCGGAGCTGTCACATCTGGTGCACGTGGAGTCTATAGCCTAAAGCCTGGCCTGAAGCAATGCAGGTGTCCTACAAGGAATTCCTCGCCTGGCTCCACATCGGCGGTTCTCTGGCCCGTCGCCGGGCCGAAAAGCAGCCGAAGCTGGGCCTGGGCAACGCGGAGTTTCCATGTGCCAGGAAAGCTCTCGAGCAAGTTGAAGCAGGTTACAGGCCGCCTCCAGCATTCGATGGGCATGCGATGGGCATGCGGCATGTCTCCGCTCGTCCAGGTCCTGTGAGAGAGAAGAGGGTCAAAGACGCTTTCAACTTGCAGCGGGCTGAGCCCGCCCGAGCCATGCCAGAGCTTTTTATCGGAAGCTGACATGTCTTCAAGAAGGTACGACGTCAGTGGAGATGGGTTCCTGGACATCTCTGAGCTGCGGAATGCCATGGGCAAGATGTTCCTCTTCAACCAGGACAGGATGCCTCTCACCGGCCGCTCTGTAATCATCGCAAACCTCTGCAATGCCTGCAGGAGGAGGTGAATAAGATCTGTGCAGACCTGGACACCAGTAATGCTCTTCGTTTGCAAGCATCATTTTGATCTGTTGCTTGGGCTGCAACGGCGTGAACTGGTGGCGCTCAGGACGGCGTCATCTCATACAAGGATGACGACAGCTCTTGCTGCTTGCTCTTTCTTGCGGTCAGGCGCGGCTAGCGTTCCCTTGCTGTCAGATGCCTGGCAGGAGTTTTCAATCTGGATGCGGAAGGGGTCCACTTCCAAGGAGGTATTGAAAGGAAAGACCATCCTGGCTCCGGTGCCGCGGCCAGCAACTATGAACAAATGCCAGATAATGTTGACCCCTGATTAATAAACCCCCCCCCCGCCCCCCCCCCCCTCAAGGTTGTCAAGGTCGCAGGCCCCCCACAGGATCACAGACCCCCAAATAATCCCGTGAAGCCAAATTGCAGTAAACAGTGGTGCTAGTAGTAGTAGTCGTAGTAGCAGCAGTAGTAGCAGTGGCAGTAGCAGTAGCAGTAGCAGTGCCACAGGAGTTTGATTAATCGTGGGACGTTGATTAATCGTGGGTGACACACGATTGCTGGGGATAGCTCAAAAAGCTTGTTTGGGGGCTTGGAACGACACAGCAAGTAGTGTTGAAATCACCACTTTGGAGGATTAAAACGTGAAGCGGTTTTGGGGCCAATGAGGTTTCAAGTTTAATATCGGGGAAGGGTTTAGGCCTAGACCAAGTCTTGCCCCCTTTAAAAGTAGTCTTCGAAGCACTTTTTGAAATTTTAGATCCCCAGACGATGTTGCCTTTAATCGTGGGGGGTTTTCTGCAAAAAACGATCCTTATTTGGGTGCTGCCTTTCAAGTAGTACAGATTGGGGCCGGAGCCGCCCGCAGGCCGCCTTTAATCGTAGGGGGATTATTAATCCTAGGTCAACATTACGAGTTGCTCGCACGCACCCGCACATACACATGTATACTCTATATATCAGACGACTTGTCGAGCACGAGTGACAAAAATACTCTCTATATATATATATACACACACACACACATCTTTTTATGTGTGTATATATATATGTATATACATACATACACACAGACATATATATATATATATATATATATGTATATGTATGCATAACCCGTCCGTCCGTGTGTGTGTGTGTCTCAAGCCCCTGTCTTCGCCCTCCCCTCTTCTGCCTGGCCCTCCCGAGATCGACAGTGACGGCTTGGATGCGGTGTTCTATGTTTTTTGTGGACCGGGGAAAACCGCTCCTTGGATGGAGAAGGCATGATTACCACAGTGCTAGCACCAGGAGCGGTGGAACCTGCGGACCTGCGCTGCATTCAGGAAATGGAGATGAAGGATTTCGTAAAGTTCTGCAAAAACTGCAAATTTATTGATTCGACGCTGCCCCCTGCCGTGGCAGATGCTTTGCAGCATTCCATTACTTGTCACCGAGGTAAGGAATGAATGTTTACAAGAGGTAATGACAGGGAGGCAAGTGCGGTCGCGCAGCTTCCTCCGGCCTCCCTCTACCAGAGTCTTCACTTAGATCTAATTTACGACGATGTCCAGAAATGTCAGCCTGCACCATCAAGCCGAGCCCTGAGGTGTAGGCTTATGTAGGCTTTGTATCGGTGCCAATTTCGGTTGTGAGCCATCCTGTCACCAGTTCCGGACATTCAACTTGCTTCAAATCAAAGACATGTCGCAGATGCAGCGCCTTTGGCAGCTGCGGGCTTGTGTTCAGGAGCTGGTATTCAACGACCACCGAGTAAAGCCGCATGGGCGACGCACCATTGCAGCTTGATGTCAATTGGAGATGGTCACACGTTTTCAAGATGTAAGAACAGTTGCCATTTTTATTTCACTGGGTAAAGGACTTCTTCGAGTTCGCGGTTGCCTTGGAGCTACTGGCAGAGCGCAGGAATGCCAAGGTACCTCGTCATTGAAAAGACTATATGGCAGCGTCAGCAAACCAGCATACCAGATGACGGGCGTGAGAAGCGCCAACAGAATGGACGAAGCTGACACTATGAAGCCCACCAGCACCAAGGAAGGAAGTATAGAGAAGCATTTGAGCAGCATTGCCTCGCCCTCTCATTGTGGTACGTCAGGGGCTCTCTATGATTAACTCAGTGCATGTGGTGCTTTTTTTTCTGCCAGCAGCTTGGCCTGGTAGCAGTTATTGTACATCGGTGCAGGTCAGCGATCTGCAGACGGTGGCCTTGCTGACTGGGGGACCACAAGCGCAACTCAAGGGAGTGGTCGTGGAAACAGCGGCAAAAGGCCAGGCCGCCGCCAGGCAGTAGCCAGGCAGTAGCCAGTTAACGAAAAATCCGCATGCCAGTTCCGGTCCGCAAGCAGCCTGCTTCGAAAGGTGGGGCCCTTGGCTGCAACACGGCGCTGCCTCCTGATTGTTGCTTTGCCCAGGAGTCGCAAAGAAGGTGAAACCTATCTTGGATGACAAGGAAGGTTGGAAGCGCGCCCCGAGCCCACGCTTGTCGAATCCCCTTGCCGAGCTTGGCGATGGTAGCCGCCGTAGCTGTCAAGGATGTGGAGAATTCCGAGCTTTGGAAGAAGTTTGGCTACGACCTCATAGCATGTCGCAGCGTAGCCGGGCAAATGTTTCTGCAGCCGGTAACAGGCATCGGGACCTCTGCTGGCCGGTGCCTCCGTCAGATCTATTGCCCGCCGAGCACTCGGACGGAGAAGAAACTACTGATCACTTGGGTCTGGGCTTGAGATGGCTTGAGGTCGGAGGTGTCGCAGCCCACACCGCCTTGCACGGGCGTGATACTCTGACTACAAATGCGAGAAAAGTCTTCAGCCTGACCGGCCGGCACGCCGGCACGCACCGAGGCCTGCCCCAGGTGCGGCGAAGCTCTGCCCACCAGAAGTTCGCAGGATCTGCAGCCGGCACTTGTCTGCGAGCTTTGGTTCGCTTTCTGCAAACAAGTACAAGGGAGCGATCAGAGGTGCCGTTAATACTTATTGGATCGGGCGTTTTGCTTCTGGCTTTTCAGCAGGCTTCTTGATTTTCCGGTCGTCATGGCAGCTGTTTTTGTACTTCAGAAATACCCGTACACAATCTTTCCCTAGTGGTCAGAGTCATAACTATGAACTGTCATCCACAACGTGTGCTCCTGCAGCTCACCAAGGTTTCTGC